AAAGAAAACTCTCATGCCACGGGCGCGCAGCGGTTGGAGCGCTGTGGCCACACATTTGCTGAACGTGAGTTCGGAGTAGCCGAACGGTAGTCTGTTGTACTCGTAGGCTACACCCTGGAAGGCAAAACGCAAATACTTTCTGGGTTTCGGAGCAATCTCGACATGAAAGTTAGCGTCCTTCAGGTCGATGGTTGTGAACCAATCGCCTGGCTGCACCAGTCCCAGTAACTGTTTTATAGTTAACATCTGGAATTGTCTGTGTGCAATGTGGAGATTCAGGCTGCGAAGATCCAGAATGGGCCTGAATTCGCCTGTCTTCTTGGGAACCAGGAAGTAAAGGGAATAATGCCCCCCCTCTCTGTCTTGAGTGCGCACAGCAGACACTGCCTGTTTTTGCCGAGAGAAAACCTATCTATCTAGCTTTGCCTCTCTTATGCCTGTGAACGGAGGAGGGATGCTGCAAAACTGGAGTGAATAACCCAGTCTCAGCGTCCTGTCCATTCACTCCGTTAACACGCAGCTGCGCTTCCATTCGATCCGAAGAGCCCTTCCATGGAAACGGGGGCCCCAAGGAGATCGTCTCGGTCCTTCTTGGCCAGTGCGGCCAGACATAGCCACACGTGACGCGACGCCATGGTGGCCAGTGACATCACACGGCCAACTGCGGTAGCCATACCATGGACCAGATTATTCATCTGGCCCACGCAGCGGTGCGAGTAATCACTCCCGTCCTCAGGCGGGGGGGCGGGGGTGTCCTGCTGAGGGGTAATCAGCGACACTCCCAACACGCCAAGATTACTGGCCGGGGGCAGGGGCCTTCTCCCCTCTGCCCACCCGGCTGCCTGCGGAAGTAGATGGGCCGCCAGTCATCCATGGGGGGCACACCGGGACACTCCGTTTCCGAGTGGCCCTGCACCCTGAGGATTCCAGCCCACGTCGTCACCGGAGCCTTCGTCCTGAGTGGCTGTCGCCACGTCGTCTCCACATACCGCCAGATGTCTGGCAGGGGGGTGCGAAACAAAGGCCGGCTGCGCCGGACGGGCCGGGCCATAGAAGCCCTGACGTAGGCGGCTCACCGGCCTCTGTGGCAGCGGTGGGGGGAGCGGTAAGCCTACACGCAAGACAGGATGTCCTGTCTTGGCGTGGCGCTGGCATGGCGAACACGAAGGGCACTCCCTCCTCGTGGTCCTCCATCTCCACCACGTCGAGCTCTGGGTCCTCCACCGGAGAGACGTAGCAGTCCCCAAACTGCACCAGCCGCTAGCAGCGGCTGAGCCGAGGGATTAAACGGCAGGCCGTAAGCGGGCCCAGGTTGGCCGCCAGGTGGTCGGACCCCAGGCATTCGATGCACTGGCGGTGGAGGTCGGCGCCTGCAATGACGCCCGGACACGAAGGACAGGGCCGTTGCTCCAGCAATGGTGAGTCCATTTTCTTCGTTTGTTTGTCGTTTTATCCGTCTCTCTTCACTCAGTGTGTCTCTCTTGCTTGCTGAAGAGAAAGGGATGACAGTCAAGAGGCGAGGCCTCCTTTTATGCGGTGAGATGCGCGCGCATTCAGGTAGGCCCGCCCCGGTGCCTCAGTGGATGAATGCTTGCATGATATGACCATAGAGTCCAGTAGAGGGCGGAGCCTGTGAGAGATATAACTCTGGTTATTCATTATGTTTAATTTGTTCTGCCAGACACACTGCTGCCCAATGAGTCCCCATATTCCTTGATAAGCAACGCTTTCATTACTGGAAATAATAAAGGTAACTGAATCAGAACCAGCCCCAGACTGTGCGAGACGCTGCGAGGGATGAAGTCTCAGTCCAGACCGGACTGCATCTGACCCCAGGCCGCTCCGCCAGGTCCGACTCCCCCCCTACCGGCTGCTTGCCTCGTGTCACTTGTTAGACGCTTTTTTTCCCTGTTTTTCTCTTAAGGCCAGCAATAGATTGTTTGTACATTATGATCTGCCAATAAGATTCATGTTTTCCTATCCTGTTTTTTTAAAGAAATACAAAAATAACCTGCCATCTCTTGTCTTGTTTTCTTGACAAAATGTTTATATTTGTGGTTATATTGTGCAAACCATCTTCTTTTAACCTTTTACTAATAGATGTATTGCACAATATGATTTGAGTCTTTAAATCAGGGGTGGGGAACCTTTTTCTTCTCAAGGGCCATTTACATTTTTTCAACATCCTCCAAGGGCCGTACAAATTAGTGACCTCTGCTTAAAAATACTAAAATCACAGCCCATTCATTTGGCCTTTCTTTCATGTTGTGCAAAGAAAAAGCAACCTCTTAATCCAGATATCTTACCATGACTCGTGTATAAATGCACGTGCACGGTTGTGGCATGACCCCCAAAGCAGAAAGATATGGACACAAGATGTCTGCAAATGTATTTAGTTTCTTATTCATGTGGACATGATTTAAGTGGGGGGGGGGACCTAACCTCCTCTAGGGGTTCCGGGGGGCATGCTCCCCCGGGAAGATTTTGTTTTAAATGTTGAAGTTAAAAGCATCAATCTGGTGCACTTTGAGAGCAACATTAGGAGATCTATGGATACATCTCTAAACACCCATATGAAACAGAACTCTAAGCAGATTTTCTTTATGGATATTTTACAAATCACTCCCCTTTTAAACTGTATTCTTGTTTATTAATAACTTTTTTTTACTGTCATATAGTATTTTATACCTGTTTACTTTATTCTCTTGTTTTTTTATAACTATAATGATCATACAAAGATGTGCTTTTACCTCACTGGTTGTAGAAAAAGCTTCTTATATTCGTTAGCATAGCTAGCTAACCAGATGCTGATAACAACAAAGTTATTGACTGTATGATCAGTATGACAGATGAACAGATCGCCACTGGGCTTTCAATTAAAGACACAGCCATGCAAAAACTGCGGCATGTGTACGGCTCCTTGCAATCTGATATCAAGGATATGGAATAAATACTCAAATGGCTTGCCATACAGGACCACCAGTCATGTTTTCACCCCCTGTGAACCTGCCTGATTGCTAGCTTGAACCATATTTAGCTAGTTATATTTTTAGCTTACAAAACAGTGATTCTAATAATACTAGTTTGGATTCCTAGACATTTGACCTCAAGACAGTATCCAAAAAAGACATGGCAAGGCAAGGCAAGGCAATTTTATTTATATAGCACTTTTCAGCACGTGGCGATTCAAAGTGCTTTACACATTAAAAGCAAAAGACATTTAAGAACAAATACAGCATAAATACATTATTAAAAAGGCATTTAAAAACAGGCATAAAAAGCAAAGATAATGAAAATAAAATAAATAAATAAACACAGCAGGTACAGAATACATGACTAAAAAGGCATACTGTAGTGTGAGTATGGGCAGCTCAATTGAAAGCAGCGGCAAATAGGTGCGTTTTTAGTCGGGATTTAAAAATAGGAAGTGTTTCTGCTGACGTGCACGATTTGGGCAGTTTGTTCCAGATTGTTGGGGCATAATAACTAAAAGCTGCTTTTCCATGTTTAGTGGTTATTCTCGGAACAAAGAGCAGACCCGACCCAGAAGACCTGAGACTCCTGGATGCTTCATAGTGATGGAGTAGGTCGTCTATATACCTCGGTCCTAAGCCATTTAGTGATTTAAAAACTAGCAGTAGTATTTTAAAATCAATTCTTTGGCAGACTGGAAGCCAGTGTAATGATCTCAGAACCGGAGTGATGTGATCCACTTTTCTAGTGTCAGTGAGTACTCGAGCAGCAGCGTTCTGAATCAGCTGCAGCTTTCTAATAGATTTTTCAGTGAGCCCTGTGAATACACTATTGCAGTAGTCGAGTCTACTGAAAATAAAAGCATGGACAAGCTTTTCTAAATCCTGTTGCGACATTAGTTTTTTAATCCGTGATATATTCTTCAGGTGGTAGTATGCAGACCTAATGACTGTTGTAATGTGAACAATTCAGGTCTGAGTCCATCGCTACACCCAGATTTCTGGCTTTATAGTTGTTTTGTAGTCTGCCGACTGAAGCTCTGCGATTACTTTTAATCGGTCCTTCTTTGCTCCAAAAACAATGATCTCAGTTTTTTGCTTGTTCAATTGGAGAAAGTTCTGAGTCATCCAGTCAGTGTTGTGCTCAATGCACTTGCTCAGTGTTCTAATCGGAGAGTAGTCTCCTGGTGTAATTTTAAAATAAATCTGGGTGTCTTCTGCATAGATGTGATAGCTTAGATCGCTCTTTTTAATCATTTCAGCCAGAGGTAGCATATAAATATTAAAAAGCAAAGGTCCTAAGATGGAGCCTTGAGGAACCCCGCATGACATATTTATCAGGGTTGATTTGTAATTGCCTATTGAGACAAAGTTTGTTCTGTCCTTCAAGTAGGAGCTATTTGTACATCATCATTTTTGTTAATTTTTTACCTCAGAAACACACTTTTGCTGATATCTTTCGCGAGAGATTTAAACGTGGCTCCTTTTTTTCACAGCGATCTTTCGATCTAACTGAGCATGTGCAGAGTGAGTTTCATCACTCTAGCTTGTTTATGATTGGAGATATTGAAGGCGTTATAACTGTCCTGTGTTACAACTGTCCCTGGTCTCCCCTACCGTATATTTGTAAGTGTTGTTTGAAATTCACACACTGTACGGTACATAAGCATTTTCATATTTTATGTACTTAAATGCTGAATCCTGTTAATATTCAGAATTTAGAAAAGGTAAAATATTGAATCTGTATAGTTCTGGAACTATAATGGTAGTTTCATACAACTTGATAGATTTGCAGTCCTTATAGAAGGTGTCAGCTGAATGCTGTGAATACACAGCTCTATTTACAGGGACGATGACGCTCAGTTTAGTACAAAGCAGGGAAGAGGGAGTAAAAGACTGGAACAAGTGGAAAAGTGTCTCACATGCTGAAGCTAAGGCTGAGGTCTGTAGCAGCTATGCTGTTTGATACTTTTCATCTGAAGATTTGCCATTTAATGATCTTCTGTGACGCTTTGTTCCTGCACACAGTTCTGATTCAATGCAGTGGAAACTCCACAGCAACAGGTGTGTATCATATTTGCATTTCTTCATATTAATAACTGTAGTTTTAATAGTTGTGTTCTCTGGTGTTAAATGGTGTAAAATGTTTCCTAGAAATATGTTGTCTCACAAGGCTTACAAAAGAACCTCACAGATTGAGACCCTAAATACTCAGCTAAATATTAAATAATAGTTTTTAGTTTTGAATGTATTTTATCTAAAGCTCTTTGTTGTATTAAAACCCCATAAAAAAATAATTTATTATAAATAAAGATCGTTTTTTTGTTTGAAAAGGAAGTTATTGGGGTTTGTATATGATTTAGATATACATTTGTATAAAAATATGCGATAATATACACATTAAAGGCAATATTTTCTATGACTAATTTTAAACTGTATTATAATTAAATATGTTTTGGGAGAAAATACAAAAATTAGCCCTTTTGCTCATATCATACTGTATTTTCAACTTAATATTATTAGATAAAAACCTTTCTGCATATTTCAATTTTTAACATAAATAACAACAGCACTTGCAGTCATTGTTATTCTATCTGATAGTTTATTTCCTGCCTTGTTATTTGAGACCGACTGGATGACACGAATGGAGCATGTTTCCATGAGATAAAACAGGAAATAAGGCTAAAAAAGGACCATCAGCAGGAAGTGAGTGACACAAGTCTGCATCCAAAACAGCAGCTGGGAAATATGGAAGAAAGAGTATTTCTGTTTAATGATATGGTGCTTATAATGATGGCATCATGTGTTTATTTATGCAATTATTAAACAAATATATCTTTCTAAACGTAATGTAACAGGGAAATGTGAACTGGTTTAAAAACTATCCAGCAATATAATAATTAAATGCATTTATTGTAGCGCTTCCAAGTGCTCAGAGCGATTTACCTTACATAATACATTTATCAGACATGTAATACATCAATACTTTGGACAATATACCCACATGAGGAATTTAGGATGAAGGGTCTTGCCCAAGGACACAACAAATGTTCCCCAGCTCCCTTGATTTGAGGAGCAGTGCACTAGCCCACTGCCCACAAACATTATCCATACTCTATATGAAAGTTAGCTATAAAGGTATCATTTAGTTATTCAAAGTCTATTTATACTGCAACTATCAAAATGAGGTAACTTCTTACAGAGCTGAACTTATTTTGATTTGATTATTAAGCCCTGGTCCAATGGTGTCATCCAGTCTGAACTTGGAATTTTATCAAGCGTTCATCAAACCTTGGGCTGACACATTTAACGGGGCTTTGTCTTCATCATGCCTTGAAACGTTTTAGGCCGCCTCGGAACACATCCCAAAAGGGCCCTGCACAAGTGTCATCGATGAAAATGCCTGAGCCAATGAGATTTCAACCAAAATGAGGATTAGTCCAAATTAGAAGGGGCTACTCGTATCTCCCCTAAATATTAAAGCATTAGATTAGTGTAACATGCAGTGTTCCACTCTGCTTTTTCGTGTCTGCAAGGACCAGGCTGACCTGTGCCACGTCCAAGGGGTTTACAGTAACTACTGACATCAGAAATAAAATAGAAACACTTTGTGACCTCTGGCAAGGTCAGCCTGGAATGGATCGGTCCTATGAGAGTCTTCATGAACTTCCCGGTGTCCCTAAGAGAGTTTCAGATCTGTTTCTGTCCTCCAGCAGTGGTCCGGTTTTCAGTCCCTGAGGACCACCGCATCTGTCTGCAGTGCGGGGGCTCCGACAGCTCTGATGTAGTCTGGACTCACCGTGACCGGAAGGTTCTGGTGTCCCGGCAGGGCAGCTACGAGACCAACAAGGACTCCCAGCGCTACCACCTGCTGTCTGACGGGGGGCTCTGCCTTCTGCGGCTCGATGACTCTGACGGGGGGGCCTTCAGCTGTAACCAGCATCTGGTGGCCGAGCTGCAGGTGATGACAGGTAGGCTGCTAAATGTGGAGCTTTATGGGAGTGAGGAACATATAGAGAAGCGTGTCTTTAAACAGTTGGATAGCAAGTGAAGCTTTGAGTTAGGTCACAGTTGGAAACAAATGACAGTGTCAAGGTGTGGCTTGAGTCTAAGTCATTTATACATTTCAGCTATTTCCTAAATATTTATATACATAAATACAGTACATTACCCTTTATGGATATTTCGATATGAGGATGAATGTCCTTTTCATGTTGGGAATCACTCAGGTAGGTCGTAGGTCGCTGTTAGGTCACACCAGAAAGATAACAATTGTGATTTCCATGTCAATCTTTAGGTGGCGCCTCTGTTTCTGGAGGGTAGACATGTTTATATACAGGCACATATGTCCTAAGAGTGGGTTAAATATTCAGAGCTGAGGAGAGTTTGTCCAACAATGGTAAACCAGATTAACACTTCTCTGTATTCTGTTTTGTAATGCAATTGTTTGTTTCCTTGGCCAAGCCTTCCAATTAAAATCATCCAGAATCATACGACATCAGTACCAGTGTTCAAGCATTATGTTTGAAGTCAATGCTCAACTAAAGAGTTTCCATTCCCTGATGACAGAGTCCATATCCCTCTGTGTCTGTGCCCTCAGGCGAGGACTTCCTGGTTCCTGCAGGCCGGACCCTGCTGCTCCCCTGCAGCGACTCCTCCAAACGCAAGAAGAAGTGGTCCCAACGGAGGGAGGGGGGGCGGTGGGAGACCCTGCTCACGCTGTTCAGGAACGGTACAGTGAGAGCAGAGAGGAGCCGGATCAGCCTGAGGAACGAGGCCCTGCAGATCCAGGACGTGCAGCCAGAGGACTCCGGAGAGTTCCTGTGTAACGGGAAGCTGCAGGCCAGACTCTCCGTCCTCACAGGTGGTCCTGTGGCTGGAATTCAAAAACTTCATTTACACAATGCAATCTTTTCTGAAAAAATAACATAAACAAAAGCAGATTGTGCTAGGTTTTCAAAATAAAGAAGACCCCAGTGTGCTTCTACTGTTCCACTGATCATTGTATTTATTACATGTATTGTCAAAGAGAGTATTTATTTACCTCAGCTCCAGAAGGTACCAGGGTTTTATTTGAAGCATGGCGTACTAGAGCTCTTTTATTTGTAGTTTGATTGATCAGCTCCTGCATGTACTTATGGGTTTTTCTTAGTGCATCAGGTTGTTCAGCTCAACACTTCATGTTTCAATTTCAAATGAAAAGCCAGTGGATAGAAATCCCTTCATTTCATAAGTTAAGATTTTTATGAGAATAATTAACTACCATTGTGTCACACATGTATTGGAATGCTTATTAAATACTTAGTGTAATGCTGTAGATTATAAGCTTATGCAGGGTAAAGAAATGTAAAATAGTTCCAGTAATTGCATTCTATGGCTTGGTTGCACCACCAAGATGTTTTGTTATTTGTATTATAAAATCATTGTTTAGCTTTAAATCAACAGAGTAATTAAATCCCCAGTTAAACTAACAGATTTCTCCTTTTATATGGTTGCCTTTTTAAATGAATTAAGCTAAGTCCATGTGGCTCCATTTATTAACAAGTTTATTTTAATGGAGAAAAAAAAGAAATCTCTCCTGCCGAGCAGACATGAGTAACGTTGGACTTACTAACATACTTTTCAGCTAAACAAGGTATGTCTTTTCTGATTATCAGTGCAACCTGAGCCGACCATCCTCCAGACCACCACCAGAACAACTGCAACAGCTGTCGTCATGGAAACAGGTAGGATAACTTTACCACACACAAAATGATTGCCATTATTTTTTGCTTATTTTAAATGTATTTATTTACAACCTATACCTGGCTTTATACATATAATAGATAATGTTAGCCATTAATTTTAACTAAAATCCTTATACTTTACTTTATTAGATAACCTATTTCTAAACAAAACATCATCACAATGGGTAGTTTTATTTTGTCTTCCAAGTATCGTAAAAATATGCAATATGTATATCCACAATGGATCAGAAGAACTGGACTAGTATACTCCAAATCAGGTCATTTAGTTTAATTCCTTTTAATTGAATTGTATCTGGAGTTTATTATTTCGTAAGTGTTAATCCATGACTCACATTCTTCAAAAAAAGCTGTTTCAAATAAAGGAAATAAACTATATTTAATTGTTTTAACTAAGTTTGGAGTTTTGTTTCTGTTCTATTAATCAGAAGAGGTTGAAATAAAGAAGAAGGAGAAGAAGACACCTGTGAATGGTGAGTCAGCCAGTGTTAATTTCGTCAACGAAAACTATGACGAAAAATGTTCGTCAACGACCTTTTTTACATGACTAAGACGAGACGATAACGAGCTAAAAATAGATTCTTGATAACGAAAATTTGACGAAATGTATATTTAGTTTTCGTTGACGAGACGAGACGGGACTAAGGTGTTAATGGTGGACTAGCGGACATTCAAAATGCAGCATATTTTCCCCCAATTGCCCGTCTTGTCTGTCAAAATGCATCTTACATTTCTAACTTGCAATATCATTATTTCCGCTCTCTTCACTCCAGAAGAGCGATCTCTCTCTGTCTCTCTGTGTGCGGGGGGCGGGGCCTAACAGACACGCTGCAGCGGCACACAGAGATCTGCCGGGGACGGAGCGTTCGGAAGTATAGCAGTGTTAATTTTGGCAGCTGTTTTTGATTTAGTCTTAGTCTTAGTCTTTAGACGAAAATGGTAATTAGTTTTAGTCACATTTTAGTTATTTCTATCCTTCATAGTTTTAGTCTAGTTTTAGTCGACGAAAAGTCAAAACGTTTTAGTCTACTTTTAGTCGATGAAAAATTACATTTTAGTCAACTTTTAGTCAAAATGTTTTCTCTCTTTAAACCAATTCAGTTAGGCAAATACAGGTATCTGAAATTGTAATCAAGGTGACAGCATCAAATGTTGAAATTCGTAAAGCAACATTTCACTCTCTTAACACTTTACTAGTGTAATATCTAGGGATGGGTATCATTAAGGTTTTCTACGGTACTACTAGTCTTATCAATACTGCTTATCGATCCGGTACTTTAACGGTAGTCTTGTATTTACTTTTTGTTATTTTTTAAAGGAAAAAACTAACAAATTGTTAACCGAATTAATTGCTTTATTTAAAATGTGAAATAAATTAAATATATATAATTATGTTAAAATATTGTACTGTACTTGAGTAAAATGTTGAGGTACTTGTACTTTACTGGAGTATTTAAATGTGTTGCTACTGTGTACTTCTACTCCACTACAGTTCATAGTTAAATGGTGTACTTCTACTCCACTACATGTATTTAATACCTTTAGTTACTTTACAGATGTGGATGAATGATGTGAAATATAATCAAGTGTTAACTCAGACTTTAGTAAATGCACAAGCTACCCTGCAGTATACAGATATATAATATATCATTCAAACTAGCTGCACCTTTACCAGCTTTGAGAACACTTTAATGATCAATCATTATAAAACATATCATATATATTATTCTGAAATGGAACAATCTGCACAATCACTACTTGTACTGTCGCTACTTTAAATATATTTTGATAATCATACTTTGACTTGAGGAACTCTTCCTACACTATGGTATTTTTTTACTTAGCGACAAGATCTGAGTACTTCTCCCACCTCTGCACACCTGATGTGATAACGTTACTCGTAATTGGGGCAACAGAGCTAAGAGTTAAGGAAGTCGAAAATTGTGCATTTCTCCGACTGAATATGACGCCTTTTGGCCGGCTGTTTGGACAGACTACTCTACTCGTGTCAACGCGCTAACGCGAAAACATGGCAAACGAGCTTTGTCCACATCGAGCCTTGTAGTGTCTCTATACTTCCGAACGCTCCGTCCCCGGCAGATCTCTGTGTGCCGCTGCAGCGTGTCTGTTAGGCCCCGCCCCCCGCACACAGAGAGACAGAGAGAGATCGCTCTTCTGGAGTGAAGAGAGCGGAAATAATGATATTGCAAGTTAGAAATGTAAGATGCATTTTGACAGACAAGACGGGCAATTGGGGGAAAATATGCTGCATTTTGAATGTCCGCTAGTCCACCATTAACACCTTAGTCCCGTCTCGTCTCGTCAACGAAAACTAAATATACATTTCGTCAAATTTTCATTATCAAGAATCTATTTTTAGCTCGTTATCGTCTCGTCTTAGTCATGTAAAAAAGGTCGTTGACGAACATTTTTCGTCATAGTTTTTGTTGACGAAATTAACACTGAAGTATAGAGACACTACAAGGCTCGATGTGGACAAAGCTCGTTTGCCATGTTTTCGCGTTAGCGCGTTGACACGAGTAGAGTAGTCTGTCCAAACAGCCGGCCAAAAGGCGTCATATTCAGTCGGAGAAATGCACAATTTTCGACTTCCTTAACTCTTAGCTCTGTTGCCCCAATTACGAGTAACGTTATCACATCAGGTGTGCAGAGGTGGGAGAAGTACTCAGATCTTGTCGCTAAGTAAAAAAATACCATAGTGTAGGAAGAGTTCCTCAAGTCAAAGTATGATTATCAAAATATATTTAAAGTAGCGACAGTACAAGTAGTCATTGTGCAGATTGGTCCATTTCAGAATAATATATATGATATGTTTTATAATGATTGATCATTAAAGTGTTCTCAAAGCTGGTAAAGGTGCAGCTAGTTTGAATGATATATTATATATCTGTATACTGCAGGGTAGCTTGTGCATTTACTAAAGTCTGAGTTAACACTTGATTATATTTCACATCAGTCATCCACATCTGTAAAGTAACTAAAGGTATTAAATACATGTAGTGGAGTAGAAGTACACCATTTAACTATGAACTGTAGTGGAGTAGAAGTACACAGTAGCAACACATTTAAATACTCCAGTAAAGTACAAGTACCTCAACATTTTACTCAAGTACAGTACAATATTTTAACATAATTATATATATTTAATTTATTTCACATTTTAAATAAAGCAATTAATTCGGTTAACAATTTGTTAGTTTTTTCCTTTAAAAAATAACAAAAAGTAAATACAAGAATGCCGTTAAAGTACCGGATCGATAAGCAGTATTGGTAAGACTAGTAGTACCGTAGAAAACCTTAATGATACCCATCCCTAGATATTACACTAGTAAAGTGTTAAGAGAGTGAAATGTTGCTTTACGAATTTCAACACTTGATGCTGTCACCTTGATTACAATTTCAGATACCTGTATTTGCCTAACTGAATTGGTTTAAAGAGAGAAAACATTTTGACTAAAAGTTGACTAAAATGTAATTTTTCATCCACTAAAAGTAGACTAAAACGTTTTGACTTTTCGTCGACTAAAACTAGACTAACACGTTTTGAGTTTTCGTCGACTAAAACTAGACTAAAACTATGAAGGATAGAAATGACTAAAATGTGACTAAAACTAATTACCATTTTCGTCTAAAGACTAAGACTAAGACTAAATCAAAAACAGCTGCCAAAATTAACACTGGAGTCAGCACACTCCCCTGCTGAGTCATGCAGAGTGTACAGATGTGGATGTTTGGGTGTTTGTTGAGCAGATGTTCTGTGTGTTCTCTCAGCCCTGCTGATGGTTGCCGTGGCGGGGATGGGGTTAATGATCCTCCTCATGGCCGGGGTCTGTGTTCTACTGACCGGCATGAGGTGCAGGAGGAGGAGGAAACACAGATGTGCAGGTATCTGATTGGCAGAGAGCCCCACGTGTCATTGTGTCTACAATAGTCTCTGCAGCTGAAACACTTCCTCACAGCGACACGCTTCCACCATGCTTCCCTGTAGGGATGGTGCTGTGCCTGGTTCTCTAGGCTGTGGTCAACAGTGTAGGGGCTGTAATCAGATTACATGTGTCTGTAACGCAGTAATGTAAGGTGTTACTGTTGATAATAGCAGTAAATACATTAGTTACTACGCACGAAATAACAAGAGGACAGAAAAATAAATCAAACTTTTCGCGAGTCGATGAAGAGAATATTCTGCATTTGTTCGGTCGTGATTGGTTGATTCCGAGAAAAATGTTAGTGAATGAAGGATAGAATTAAGGATGGTCAAGTATAACCGGAGCTAAAGAAGATCATAAAGGAAGCATTGAAGCTCCTTTCATAACGTATAGAGAATTCAGACAGTTCTTATCATGGCTGACATGTAGGTACTTCCAGGTGATTTCACTGTTAGAAACCTTCCTAACCTTAGCTTCATATGACCAAAGATCTTTGTTTCTTACGGTCTTTGAGGTCTTTTTTTCAAAACCTACAATGCAGCAACATTTCTTAGTTGGCTGCCCCTGATCGTGCGAAACACAATCCTGTCTTTGAGATCTGCCGGCAGCTCCTTCCGACCTTTTATAATAAGGTGTGTGCCTTTCCTAATCCAATCAGTTCAATTTACCACAGGGGGTCTCTGATCAAGGTGATGCAACAGGCCAACAGCAATTGATTGATAGGAGACACCTGAAATTTGAAAAAGATGAAGAACTCTGATCACTTCACACTCTTTTGAAAATGGTTTATCTCACTGTTTAAATTAGATCGAGGGAGCAAGAAACCTCCATCATCAATACAAAACATAACATTTCAGTTGCGTGTATTAAATGTTGAAGTGAACCCTGACCCTATAATCAGCATGTTTCTTTATTTTTTTCATAACATTTGAGAAGCGTATTCATTGTATACAAAAACATCTTCATCTCTTGTCTCTGTTTGCAGCCCAGAGTCAGGAAGACACAGAGCTGCAGCCGTGGAATACGTCCAACACACAGACTGGTACCACACCTTTTCTACTGTTTCATTCATTAGTCAGGTGTGTTCTCCCCTCACTATACACGCCTGTATCATTTCAGAGTGGGAGGACTCTGAGAGCCCGTCTCCGCAGGAGGAGGCGATCCATTACGCCTCTCTGGGCCGACCGAACTGGAGAGGGGGACCCAGCAGGACTCCAGCAGACCAGAACCAGGACCACGTCATCTACTCTGCTGTCGTCACCAGACCAGCTGCTAAACAGAAAGCTTCTCTGCTGCTCCGTGCACTCTGACATATCCAGTCTAATGAAAGGCCTATTGGGCCCCTTCCCAAGTGTGTTCTATAGGTTTGTGTGCATTCAAATCCTCTGCAAAGGCTATCATCCCTGTGTTCCCTCCAGAGGGAGTTTCTCTCCCAAAACGTGTGAATAAAGTGCTGTAGAGTCTTCAAACCAGGAAATGAGATGGTGCACATTTGATGTCGCCATCTTCAGTTTTTTGAATGGGTTTTCTGTAAGATGCCTGAAATAGTGCAACTGAAAAGGTTTTTTAAACTTCCCTGTGTCTCTATACATCTTTGTATTCTTGTATGTTGTCTTTTTATTGCTTATTGTATTTGACTTATTATGTTTATAGAAAGATTGTTAATCTATTGGTTATTGTATGGTATCTTTTTGAGCAGCCAAACCAAATTTCCTTCCAGGATTACCAAAGTCCCTCCAGCTCAGTGCAGAGAGTGAAAATGAAAGTAGAACCAGGCAAGCTGTTTGTTTCAAAGCAGCAGACGGTAGCTCTGCCTTTCACTTTGCTAACCTTTCTTTAAAACATGTACAGAAGAGAACAGGACTGTATTTGAAACCTATTAGTTCCTATATGTCTGTCCCCCCCCCCCCCCTGCATATCAACCCTCAGGACTTCTTCCACCCTCAGTACGACTGTTACGAACCCACTAGCAGAGTTGGGTGTAACGCGTTACTGTAATAATATTACTTTTGTCGGTAACGGAGTAGTGTAACGCGTTACTTTTATAATTCAGTAATCACACTACAGTTACTAACATTGCCCCGACACGCGTTACTTCGTTACTTTTATAAAATCAGTCATAATCACACTGACAGACAAGAGGGGTTTCCGCCGCAGGTTTATATGTACGTAATCTGCGCGACTTGCGCGTCCACATCTCCACGTGCAGTGCTGCATAAACATGGCTGAGTCAGCGATAACTTTCGAGGGGTGGAGGTATGCCCATTGTTTTGAGTTCGTCCGAAGAATAGACAGGAATGTGACGGTGAGGTGCAAACTGTGTCCAGGCCAGAAGCTGTTATCCACTGCTGTAAACACCACGTCAAACCTCAACAAACACCTGCAAAGAACACATGCTAAGGTGAAGCTAATAGCTAAGGACCCCCGAACCCAGAGTGAGGATGTTGTGAGTGCGCCACCGCCGACTCCGAAGCAGCACAAATTAGAATTTGGAGGACCGGTAACCAAAGCAGAGATGGACAGGCTTGAAGCATCCTTCATAGTAGAGGTAATGTTGCCCATTTGCACAGTGGAATCACCATCGCATCGTTCAGAGATATACTGCGCAAAATACAGATAGCAGGAGACAGAGGACAGCCATGGTCAGAGCTATCTGGATCAGTCTTATGCGACAATGGAAACTGAACTAAAGAGAACATTTTTAAACTTTAGCAATCTGTGTGATCTGCCTGCAGGGAGGGGCTGGCCGGCCCTGCGAGTAAAGTAACGAGTTACTTTATGTAGAGAGTAACGAAGTAGTGTAATATATTACTTTTTTAAAAAGTAATATGTAATATATTACTTTTTTTTAGTAACGACCCCATCTCTGCCCACTAGGGATGAGTAAAGTAACACGCAACAGATGGATTTGGTAAGTATTATAATAGGATTTAATGAGCAACAAACAAAGGTGCACAACAAAATGAGATCAAAAGTAGCCTAAGCCAAACAAAGAAGCCAACAGGGCGCAGTTCTACTGCTAGTACCAGAAGGAGGACTCTTGAAAATGAGCCTAATTAACACACCTGAGATCTCTTCCAATTAACTCTATTGGAAGGAGGCTGCAGGAAAACACAGCTAACAATATAAACTAAACACACGCTACTCTAAACACATAAATCAACACGCTACTCTAAGCACACATATAAACACGCTAAACACACAACACAATAGTCAAACACAGTCTATAGCTCAAGACTGAAGTGTCCACGACACAGGAGCAAAATGTGTGAGGCGTCTGATCGCAGCAGAGCCTCCCGAGTGATAATTGTCCCCAGGCTTTGTAGTAATCTCCGGAAGGTGTGCTCTGGGATTGCACGGGGATTGGAGAGCGTCGGGCCCGGCGTGCTCCAATCAGTGTCTTCGGAGGAGGACCAGGAGATGACAGCCAACGACATTGGGGCAACCACACAGCTCATTTACATATTACACACAGCTGCAAACAATCTCAGACAGGTTAACGAGCAGACAGAAACAGCAGCCGTAACAACGACTACGACCAACATTAAAGTGAAACCTTTCTACACTAATATTAATATATTTACAATTTTGAATGTATTTATGTATCTTTAAATGTAGAATCATGGTGATATTATTCGTTTATTGATGGATTAAGATAAATAATGTGATGAGTATATAGGCCTACTATTTATATAGTCATCACTTTGAATGTTATTGTCTTTTTTTTAGCACAATGTCAAATTAAGCTTGAATAAACTGAACACAAGTGAGTGAGGGGGGAAGTGAGGGAGGTAACACACACACACGCACACACGCACACACACACACACACACACACACACACACACACACACACACACACACACACACACACACACACACAAGAACAATGTAGGGTTCATTATCTACTCTTATTACATGGCTTAGTTGAATACTCGATTCTGATTGGTCAATTTAGAACACGTGACACGTTGTTAATCCAGAACAGACAGACCGCTGTCAAGGACTTATTGACCGTTGTTAAGGACGCTCACATCTGCACAAACAAGTCCGGTCGATTGAACTGTATACAGTTTGGCCGAAAAGCAAACTGCATGCAGTTTGCTTTTCTAACTGACAAGACAAGAGCGACAAGAAAACAGCGGAGAAGTAACGGGCAGAAACCCTCCTTTTTACGCAGCGGTCCAGACATAGACATCAAACGGCGACACATATTCAGTTGCCAGTTACTTTGGCATTAGGGCAGGGATATCTAGATACTTCCCAAGGTTTGACATAATGAATTGTGCTACTTTTAAAGCAAGCAGCGATGTTTTCAAATCTGTAATCAAAAAGCTCCGCCTTCCTGCCGTTGCGTTGCTACGTTTTTTTTTTCAAACGGTAACAACGGACTATTTTCCTTAGCGGATGCATCTCAATTTAAATCAATACATACAACTATTTTTTAAATCAATAAAATCATTTTCTAAATCCATAAAAGCATTTCAATTAATAGTGGGAGTCATATCATTACTTTGTTGAGAATGTGGCCATGTAATAAGCGGGATAATGTGCAGCGACTTGGTCATTATGGGGAAAAGAACACCTTCATGCCGATCTAGATCCCTCCACTTCGCGTCGGGCTCCTGATCTGCCTGTCGGTGTTCTTTTCCCCATAATGACCGCGTCGCTGCACATTATCCCTTACATACTGCAGGTGTGGAGATCAGATGGAAGTAAGGAATGAGGGATGGAGTCAAGGCCGAGTTCTCCAGCTAAACCAGGGGCGTTGCTTGGATCTAGCAACATCAGGAGCTTAGCCCAGCTCCACAATTGTACTTTCGAAAATATATATACTGTATATCAATAGAGTATCCAAAGAATACACATATTTAAATATATTAAATGTAAAAACAGAAACGCCAAATGCCAAACAGAAACACATGGACAAAGGCTATATAAAAAGGTGTGAAAAAGAAGAAAATAAACTATGCTAGCAAGAAGATGTTTTCTGTCACAAGATTTTATTATATTTCGAGAGCATTACACTTTTAAAATAGGACATAAGCCCATATCTTATCGACCAAAAAATAAGACGCCCAGTTTGCCCATATGGTAGATCCGGCCCAGGATGGAGTGAGGTAGTGAAAATGAGAAAAGGATAAGGAAAGAGAGAGAGAAATGGTGTATGAGTGAGGGAGAAAGTGACTAAGGGAGAGATAGAGTGAGGGAGGATGCATCAATTACTGTGATTAGCATGTAGCATATTACCAGTTTGGTCTGTCTCCCGATAAGTTTGTGTAACCCTCAGTGGCGTCGCCTGGCCTGGGCATCCGGGGCTTTAGCCCCGAATGTTTTTTCTGTAGCCCCGGACAATTCTCCCTCAATAATATAATACATTAACCGTGCTTTACGTGAGCCTCATCATGACACAAGAGAGGACGGCAGCACTGTAATTTCCCGTGTTCACTGAATGCAACAGAAGCATGACACCAGACCAATCAGAGAGTTGCATGGAAATAAACGTGTGCTTGTGTCATTCAAGCTCGGCTCTGTGTGTGTGTGGCAATAGCGCATTTAGTGTGAAAGAGAGAGAGAGAGGGAGAGAGAGGGGGAGGGAGGGAGGGAGGGAGGGACCGGTGCCCGGTGCCCGGTGCCCGGTGCCCGGTGCCCGGTGCCCGGTGCCCGGTGCCAGCAGGGACGTGTTGTTAGCATCTGGTTAGCTAGCTGCGCTAACGGACATAAGGAGCTGTTTGTTCCACAACAAGCTGGAGGAGAGTCCTCTCCTCTCAGACTGAGAGACCCAGGTGAGCTAAAGGACTCTCTGAGTGTTTAGATACTTAACTTTAGTCTAAGTTATCTCAGTGGGTCTCAAACGGTTTGGTCACAAATTATTCAAAAGATTATTTCCGCGGCACACCTTCATATGATCATTATAGTTATAAAGAAAATAAGAGAATAAAGGAAAAACAGTTATGAAATACTATATGGCAGTAAAACAAGAATAGAGTTTAAAAGGGGAGTGATTAGTAAAATATCCATAAAGAAAAAGTACATCTGTTTACAGTTCTACTTCATATGGGTGTTGAGAGAGGTATCCAAAGATCTCTTCATTTTGCTCTCAAATTGCACCAGATTGATGCTTTTAACTTCAATATTTAAAAAAAAATCTTCCCGGGGGACCATCCCCCCGGGCCCCCCTAGAGAAGGTGAGGTCCGCCCCCCACTCATAAAAAATACCACTTTACCCCTGCCTATATGGTGAGCTGATTATCGAGCCTTCATTGTAACAGTCGCAGGTGTACTGTGTGTGTGCGTGTGGGGAGTGTTGCAGTAAAAAATGCCAGTGCCGCCGCCACTGTGGGCTAAGCCCCGAATGTTTTCAGGTCCAGGCGACGCCCCTGGTAACCCTGCAGTGTTCAAAAGTGTAACTACAAAATAAAAATAAATAACATGTGCCTTCTATCATACTGGGTATCTCTTTGTAAATAGGTCACAACTAGAAAGTTCAACTGACAAACACAATATTGAGTTTTTTGCACCAAATCAAAGTCAAATTAAATGCTCGTATCCCTGCATATACAATGTTTTTTTGTGTTCAATCTTATGTTCATTTATCAAGCGGTAACAGTGTAAAAGTAACATTTTAACATTATTCTCTTGTAAATGATTATAAAGATGCTAAAGAAATGTGTTATAAAACTAAAAGCAAAAGCAGACCATTATTTATACACATTTCACACAGTCTATTGCATTTTATTTGGGAAAAAAGATGCAGGAAATAGCTTAAAGGGGACCTATTATGCAAAATGCACTTGTTGATGTCTTTTATACATACATATGTGTCCCCGGTGTGAAAGGAGACTGAAAAGGTTTCAGAAAATACAACGCTCTCTCTTTTCCTCCTTACCCACATAAATGACGTCATTGGCATAATGTGGGCTGGCTTTACATTGAACTCCTGGCACACGGCGCAACATATCTTCAGTCGTCTAGCCGAAGCGCTCCCAGTAGCATCTGCTCTTGGCCTGCTCTTACGAACAAGATGTCTAAGGTAGTCGTCAAACTTTGTACTTCAGCGTCAGATTCAGGATCATACTCATAATACGCTTGAACAGCTGCAATTGTCTGGGAGAACATGCTTCTCCTCTCGTATTCACCGTAAGCATGGTATGGGCATAGATTTGTCTCAGAAATATGGTTAGACACATCGAACTGTTCTAATGAAGGTAAACACAGTGAAGGCGCTGCGTAAATACACAGCTCTCTGCGCGCAGATAGCTGATACTGTGAGAGTCCCGGACATGAATTCATAGATCAAGGCAGACTGGTTCACAGACTCTCCTGTTTTGCGAATCCGGTGCTTAAACAAATAGCTCTACACCTCTGGCCGAAATGTCCCTAAAATGAAGTCCGAGTTTGAAATATATCTCAAATAATGTATGCACTGCCATTTCCCCACATAAACATAACAGTCTGCAATCAAACGGTTGTCTCCTGTGCGCTCCACTTCCTACTTGGCGCACCGGTAACTTTCTCGTGCGAACGAAAAAGTATCTTGTGCGCACGAGAAAGTATCTTGTGTGCACGAGAAAGTATATCGTGCACACAAATGAATAAAGCGTGGCCTCGTTTTATTTAAATTGAGGCCACGAATTACATCTCGTGCACACTAATTACATCTCGTGCACACGAATTACATCTCGTGCGCACAAATTAATAAAACGTGGCCTCGTTTTATTTAAATTGAGGCCACGAATTACATCTCGTGCACACAAATTAATAAAAAGTATTTTTCTCTCTATGAACCCTCCAGGGCTCCGTGGTTTTCTGAAATAACATATCATATCCTATCATATCATAACATTTAAAAGAACAATCCTATTGGCTTCAAGTCATAGGAACCAGGACGAAGCTAGCTCCCAGGATGTTTACAAAAATATGTATTTTCCACAAGGCTCTATACTGAAACAAAAAGAGCCGTTCCATCTGCGGTCAAGTTATCTGTTCAGGTTCTTGCGACTAAACACCGCTGAATATATGACGTTCTCCTCTGCCAATCCTGATCCTCCTTGGCCAGTAGGGCGGGGCTTGTCTGCATGCTTCAGACTGGAATAGTGCATAGACACTTCCTGCAGAGACAGAAAACAAATGAAGCTCCACTCTGTAACACCACGTTGAATTCTCCTACTTTGAAACGTTTATTCATATCAGATCAATAGTATCACTATATGTGCGGAAGCCCTGAGAGGGATGTGAGATTTTCAATTTTCAAAGTCTGATCTAAATAGTTTAACTTATTTTGTTCATGATCTAAGAATAGGTGAAACGAAGCTTTGCAAGGATAATCATTTAAATTATCTACATTTAGTTTTCATCTGTGAAAAAGGGAACAGGAATCTGGGTTTAGACTTAATGGACAAATTAAAACACAGTGTACTCTACCCTCTTTCGGCCAAAATGGGTATTACAACAACAAACACTCTTAAAATCATTTTTGACAATGTTTCCCTGCTTATTTTACAGAAGACATTGGTTTTTAAAGTAACTTGGAAATACCTTTTTAAATCTTATGATACTTGCCTCTCAGGGCTTCCATAGGATTGGTATCAAGTGGCTACAGCAAATAGGTGTCCGATACATACTGTTTTTAATCAATATTGAAGCAGATACCGTTAAGAATCCATTTGAAAATCTACTTTATTTTGCAAAATGCATGAATTGGATTTACATAATGTGTATTTATTTTGCCTATTAATGTAGATATTTGTATATGTATTTGATTTTAGGGACAAAATATCAGCACTGGGAGCAGTCAGACAGTAGCTGAAACCTCTGTGTGGATCCATATACAGCATCATTTAGCAGAAATATTTACAAAAAAAGGGGAAAAGAGGTAGAAGAGGACTGTTGACATGTCACCATACTGACCTCTGTGACCTTTTGACTCGTTGGACAACAGCAGCAAACAGCCGGTGTACCTGAACACAAGGAGAGGGGGAGGGTTCAACAACACCTGCCAAACTGATTTGCCAAACAAATCTTCTGTTTTAATCAAGTTTAAATAGGACTGAGTTTAACATATTTTCAATGACTCTGAAACTTATTTTTTTAAGACAGCTTTTACATTTGTTTCAGCATATTGTGGATTGTTCCAGTATTTCTTCAAATTGTTGTACTGTTATATATGTATGTCTTGTACCTTTTTAATGCTATTTTTTTTAAAAGGTTTGCCATGTCAATTTTGTTGTCTTTTGGTAAATTGTATTTTTCCATTTGTTTCCTTGTATTCTATTTTTAGTTGTCTCATACCTGTTTATAGTTGTTTTGTTTTTTTAAACGTGTCTACTACCTCTATTTATCTTGTTTTTTTTTAAATATTTTACTGCTATGAATTTTTTTTCTGTTCTATAATCATGCTTTTGTACCTTTTCTTACCGTTTTTTTTCCTATTCTATATTTCTGTGTCTTATGCCTTTTTGTATATATTTTTGTACTTTTCTTCCCGTCATGTTAGTGTTCCTTGTATCTTTTTTAGATTATAATTTTTTTTTAAATCTCCTATTCTATATATTGTCCTTGAACCATTGTTATTGTATTTTTTTAAAACATGTTTTTCTTTTATTCAATATCTTTGTTTTTTTTATAGTATTTTATTCAATTCTATATTTATGTCTCTGATCTTTGTAATACTTGAGATATTTGAATTTTTTAATTCTCTTACTAATGTTTTGCACTAATAAAGCCCATTCCTTGTTTGTGGAAACTTCTCTAACCAGGATTATAATTGAGAAGTCCTAATGGTGCGTTCACACACGCACCATAATATAGAGGTGAATGATCCGGTGTACTGTGAGCCCAGCAGCTTCCAGTCAGTGAGTTATATATAGAGAGGGAAAACGAAAGTGAAAGCAGGGCCAGCTGTTTTTGTCAAAGCAGCAGACGGTAGCTCCGCCGTTTACCTTTCTACCCTTTCTCCTAAACAGAGAAGAGAAAAAGACTGTATTTGACGGATCTGTTCCCACGGGCAGCGGTCCTCCCCCCCCATGGCGGACTCTCTGGTCCTGGAGGCCCTGTCGGCTCTCTCCGGCTGCTCCGTGGAGCGCGGGGCCTCGACGCTCACTCCGCAGGACTTCGTCAACATCGTGGCCCTCAAGGAGTATTACAAGCAGGAAGGCTTTAAAACCCTGGAGTATCCCAGTTTGGGGTCTCTATCCCTGCACGACCTGGACGGGGAGGACCTGTACAGCTCCCCCCCCGCTCTGACGGAAGGGCCCCAGGAGAGCCACAGGACCAAACTGAAGATCAACCCCGAGGACTTCTTCCACCCGCAGTACGACTACGACTTCTCCAACATCAAGGTGAAACTCTCCTTTAATTAATCTCTTCCTTCATTTTAAACTAATATGTAGAATACCGGTGATATTATTAAATGACGGATTAAGTATCCATATAGGCCTACTGTATAAACTGAAAAGCCCCCTGAGAAAAATGTAAAATGTATGATATTAGGCTATAAATAAACTTTGATTGATTGATTGATTGACTGACCTGATAGAGTATTTATAGCAGGGGTGTCAAAATCAAGGCCCTGGGGGCCAAATCCGGCCCGCCACTTCATTTTATGTGGCCCACAAGAGCTTGCAAAGAATATAATAAGTTTATTAATAATGTTACGTGTGCCGCTTTACAGGAGAACGTTGCCCATAAACTACATGTCCCACAATGCATCTCATTGTGTGACATGCACAATGAAGAGACTTGCAATTATTTTCCCTAGACTTCTGCTTTCAGACATAGTTAATTATGAAGTTATTACCCTATCCGATAATAATCCAATGCAGAGGAAATATTGTAAAATAATACATTATTTTATATTTATTATGTATATTTATCTATGTATATTTATATAGTCTTAAAGTTACCACCGGCCCTTTGAGTGCAACCATAATTCTAATGTGGCCCGCGATGAAATTGAGTTTGACACCCCTGATTTGTAGAGAGGCGAAGTCCCGCCCTTCTACTTCCGACCCATGGGACCTTATTTCGGAAGAATTATGTATTGAAGTCAATGGGGAGAGAAAGATTATCTTTCGATCCCGTTTGAATTGTGCCACGAATTACACATAGGCCTATGATGTTTGTCAATCTTAAAAAATCATTTCCATGTCAAAAAAGTCACAGTTTGTCGTAAAACTGTTGAAATATAAGACTATGAAAAATATGCAACTAGAAAGACTACAAATCCCAGAGTCGCGTAAGCTATGTCATTAACGTTACACATTACACTCGTGTTACTCACCGAAACCTTGTAAAACCGGTCCCGCATGCTGGCTCTTACGAAACCGACTAACTCCCCTTGTGTGTATGTACAGCTCTCAACATGCCCAGACTTGTAGTGATTTTCACTTTTCGCCTCATTCTGAAAGAAAGAGGTGAAATGTGCTAACGTGACGGCCATCTTGGTGTTGGTGACGTGTGCGAGACCAGAGATGTAGTTCATTGAGCGTTTCACACAACAAAATGTGTTACTTCACAGTTTTACGACACATTTTAATTTTTTTGACTTGCAAAATTATCTTTTAAATTGACAAACATCATATGTGTAATCCCTGGCACAATTCAAACGGGATCGAAAGATAATCTTTCTCTCGCCATTGACTTCAATACATAATTTTTCCAAAATAAGGTCCCATGGGGGTCCCCCGGAAAGGGAGGGACTTCGCCTCTCTAAAGTCATGACTGAATGTGTTTGTCTTTTGCTTGAGCATGTAGCTTTACTGTAGGGAGGAAGGGAGGAAGTTAGGAAAGTTACACACACACACACACACACACACACACACACACACACACACACACACACACACACACACACACACACACACACACACACACACACACACACACACACACACACAGGAGAATGTAGGGTTAATTATCACACTCCAGGAGTAAGGCCCCGCTCACACGGGACCGTTTGCGTTTATGCACAGTATGCGTATTCAAAAAAGTATTCCGTTCACATGCATTAGTTTCATTTAACGTGTCTGTTCAAACGAGGCCGCTGGAAACGCTGTAGTACATATGCCGGGACTGTAAGTGGCGCTGTAACTTCCGCCAAAATACACCAAAAGCAGCGAAGAAGAGCAGCCCCAGCAGCCCCCGCCGCAATGTTGCCATGGCTACCCTTCTGTTCATGCCCCGCCGTGTATTTAGCAACATGTAGTTCATGTAATTCTCCATGTCCACTTGTTGCTGATGGTTGTGGTAGAGGAGCTGTAGATTTTTGCACTAATATCTGTAGCATGGTCAGTAGCAGTAGCACTAGCAGTAGCTACTGACAGGAGGAAGTGTGTGTGGCGATTGCTGGTATTCAGCGGGATATAGTCATTTCCTCAGCATATGGATAAATGCAACAGGTGAAGTTAACTGAAAGAAACCGAATCTGTGGATATTGCATCGACCGACGTCTCCGTGGAGAGGACCCGCTCAGAAAAGAGAGATATTCTCTACAAACACCGGGTGAGATCCTCCTTTGTCAATATAATGGATCAATGCATGAAATCTGACTCTGTTTATTTTGTTTAAGGAGTATATTGGGCGTTAACTATTCTGGTTTGCCTTTTATAATATTATTTCATTCAAGAACCCCTTGTGCGTTTAATTAACACAGCTATTTTTGATAGTTGCTACAGCAGTGAGCAGGAGAGGTGCTATTTTTTTTTTTTTTTCGCTATTTTTTCAGGAAATATTCGTATAGAGGTGATTACACGGACTCGGTTGACCCCCCAGAGAGTTTCGTTTGCAAATCTATCCACCTTGGGACCCGTTATCGTTTGTGGGGTCAGTTTCTATCGGCCTCGTGTAAATAATAGGGCTATACGCACGCGAAACTATGCAGATACAAGCAGTTTTCTCCTCGTGTAAACGGCGCCTAAGACACTTTCACATGTACTCTGCAGGGGCCAGGGAGCGAATGAAAGTAAAGAGTGAGGGACCAGGGTTCGAGTAAGTAAGTAAGGGAGGAAAGTGAGGTAATAAGCAAGGGAGGGAGAAGGTGAGTCAGTAAGGGGGGGAGTGAGTATAGGTGAGATAGTGAGGGAGGAAGTTAGCAAGGGAGGGAAGGAAAGACAGAGAGAGTGAGGGAGGAAGTGATGCAGCAAATGTTGCGATTAGCATGTAGCATAATAGCATGTTCCTCTGCCCCCCTACAGGATGGTAACAAGGCGTTCCTGCGGGGCGGGGAGCCGTACATCCGGCCCTGCGGGTGGAAGCGCTTCGCCCTGCGGGTCACCAAGAAGTACGATGACGACGTCTGGCTGGGGAAGGGGACAGACTCCTGGCCAGTCTCCTACCACGCAAAGAACATGGACGGCTCCCTCGGCGTCATCCTGTCCCACGGCGGAAACCCCGAAGACACGCCACAGTTTCTGGATGCCGCCGCAGCCAGTCTGGTCACCGGGGAGACAAGGGGTCAAGGGGTGTACTCCACCCCAGATATCAAGATGGCGGAGAAGTACTGCCGGAGGTTCAAGTCCAAAGTGGACGGGAAGACGTACAAAGTGGTTCTTCAGAACCGCATCAACCCGGAGAAGAGAAAGGAGTGCCAGAGGGAGAACACCTGGCTGGTCTACGTCCCCAAAGACTGCAGCGATGTGGAGAAGAGGGCCATGGTGCAGGAGTCCATCCGCCCGTACGGGCTGCTGCTGAGGCAGGCCTGACCCAGCTTAAACACACTTCTTTATAGTTACCCTGGGAATTCATTTAACCTTGAGTGTTCTTAAATACAAACTAAAAACCTCACAAAGATGATTCTCTCTCCCTCTGAAATCAGGTTAATGTTCCTGTGTGTTTGTTGTCTGTAGGAAGAGCCAACAAACCACTCCAGCCTTTATTCTTAGGTTTTCTTTTTTCTTTTCTCAAATGGCAACCATACTTCACTGAGGGACTTCCTGCCTTATTTGGTAGCCTTATAATTTGAACCTTATGTAACACAACAGTGTTGCAATTGATCGGTGTAATTACAAGAAAATAAAATGTTAATGAACATCTGGCTGTGGTTTACTTTGTAAACATTGAACATACAGTAAATACAAAGAAGTAGTTTTATTCATGGTGTCATCTAGTGGTGAACTATAATGTTTTTCTTTACTGTAGGGGACATTAGTTCTGCCTAATGAGAACACTTTTGACAAAGTAGTGAAATTCAATTAATGTAATTAATGTAAAGAAGAACATTTTAATAGATTGTTTTCTTCTTCTTTGCACAAAATGATTTGACCATTTAACTGAATTCATTATCTATGCCTGGTCAATTTATGAGTTTTTTTTCTATAGATCATTACTTTTATTGCAGTTATTGACTCATTAGTGTAGCCTTCATTTTCCAGTTTTGTTGTCCATATATCCGATAAGACTACAAATCCACTAATGGGGGGGCACACTCAGATGTTTCGCGCTTGAATCAGTTTTTCCAGTTCTTGTATGTCTGAATAGTTCTGTGTAAATATATGATGTGCAGATCTGTGTATAGGAGGTGCTTACATATTTTATATCGTAGTATTTAACAAGGTGATATGTGTTCTCTTCAGGGATGATAATCTATTGCCAATTTCAGAACCACATTTATTACATTGTAGGATTATAACTTTGGAGGGATGTGTAAGCATCACTTTATTTATTATAATTAATGGTGTCGTATAAATAGTTAGATTCTGTAAAGTAACTAGTAAAAAAGCGCTGTTTTATAAATGTTGTTAAGTAAAAACTACATGATAAAGAAAGGATAATGTTCGCACAGCGCTCTTAAATTGCAATAATGGCCAACTTGCTCACTTATTACAAAGCTACTTACTGAAACAATCAATAATTTGACATGAAATATTGATTTAAAATGTATTTTATAATTTTAGCTTTAAGAAATAGTCTGGTCTCTGTGTTATTGAGTCCAAACTGCATCCATAGCAACAGTCTGTTATCCTTACAAGCGTCTACTAAAAATAAATAACAGACCGTAGAGTGTCTTAATGGACCGATCAGAATGAAGTTCTCAACAAACCTTAAAGTACAAGTACCTTAATCTCGTGCTCAAGCAGTTGTTTTGAGTACATGTGTTGAGTACTTTCCACCACTAGGGGGAGACACTTTCCACACATTGCCCTTCCGTCAATCACAAAGATGGAGGACACACGCACATGACACACACACACAAGCAAACACACACCTGCGCACCAGCAGAGTCCAGCGATGAGGATGCAGCCGAGGACGAGTACAGCAGGAAGAACCCACATCCACACACTCCAACATGGCTGCCCTGCTGACAGCCCGTCCACTCCTGGAAACACAAAGTACAGGACGAGTTCACTGACTGCTGGATAATCCTTTAGAACAAGGTTCAAAGTTCAAGGTTCAAGGCTTTTATTGGAATAACTCCCATTATTCAATGTTTCTGAAATATTATTGATCGGATAAGTGCGAAAAGACTCCACGGTAACTATGGAGCAATCAACAAAGGATTGCTTCCTGCAATGTTTTGGTACTGGTGGTTATTTCCATGTGCAAAACAGGGATGTTTAAAAGCTGAATCTCTTTTTGAGGGACACTTGACCGTTTTAAAACTAAATGCACATTTTGCAAACTGCTTTTTTAATGCACCCTACCTTTAAACAATTAGAAAATACATTCTGATGATTGGAAGTTATGACTGATGAATGAAAACGATATATTTTTTGAAAATGTAAAGGGGAACATGACCCTTTGTAGTTATTTAAAGACAATTATCAGTCACCTTCATGTAAATACTTTGGTGTAATGATAGATTAGATGACATTAAATATACCTGCAGAAGGACAAGAGAAATAATTCATTTTCTCCGGCTGCTTGGGTCTAAAGAGTAGTCACATTTTTATTTTGTTTCTAATATCTGTGATTTTGAGTTTTCTACAGTGTTGCAATTCTACATGTACAAGTGATGGTCCACCGCTTTAAAGTGAAAACTGCTCCACCAAATGAAAATCTGCTCAAAGACTGTAGGTCTATCCTTTGAGAAACTCTATGAATCAACCTACCATAAGTCAGCCATGTCCTGAACAGCTAACAGGTTATTAATAAGATCAAATCGGAGATACACCTCTTTTGTGCAGCAGATCCTCAAATTAAATACGGAGATTAGTCCCAGATCAAATGTACCAATAGAAACTAATCTAATGATCAACCTGTGAAGAAAGGATAGAGGCTAAAGAGATGAAGTCTTGCTCACTTTATAGAGCCAACATTAACTTCAAGCCAACCACTAACCAAGTGGCAATTAAATAAACATTTCCTGCAAACACACCACTGATGATGCTTGCCAATGCCACCAGATTAGAAGAAACATCACCACTGAAACTTCTGCTTTCTACAGAAATGTAATAATCACATTTATGTCAGGGTCTATTTATCACAGTATGATTTTGTCATTATGGTTAACTTTACACCCTAACCTGATCATTTTTATGAATTGTTGCTTTGCTCAAACCTTCAGAACTTTCATTCAAATTCTTTTTCAGTTCTTTATGATTTGGTTACGTTGGCCGACAGGGGCAAAAACGTTTCAACAGGCCAAAAAAGAAAGAAAAAGAGAGTCCAAATTAAAAAAAGAAATGTGCCAAAACACAATCTTCACCAACACATGCAGCATTTACTGAAAGGGCTGCATAAACAAAACGCTGCAAATAAAAAAAACTGCAAGAAACTCAAAGCATGACAGAAACCAGGGGACACTAAAAAGTGTCACAGATTGGACCGAAGCGCTTTTTGATGTTCAGGATTATAAAGCTGGACAACTGTCTCTGTTGCCAGAGTGAGTCTGTTTAATAACTTTAAGTGTTTGTCAGTATATGTGGAATGACTAGATTAGCTACTTTAGATAGCTAGCTTACAGCAGATCTGCAATTACACGATCACATTGTTAAAATAAGCAGACAAATACGTACATTTTGGTAAGTCTCCAGTGACGGTTGGCCAGCTGTGTGCAGCTCTTTTTAGTCCCCTGGTTTCCTTTGTGTTTTGAGCGTCTTACAATTTTTTTTTACCCTTACCCTTATAGTATACGCCCCTCATGTGTTGTCAAGTTGGTGAATGTTTGTTCATTTGCATGTGTTTTGGCACATTTGCCTTTTTATTTGCACCGTTTCTGAAGCTGCAGCGTGTTTTAGGAAGTGTTTGAGTCCGCTGTAGTCCATTTGCACCTCGGCATCCTAACATTTTGTCTTGTTGAAGCAATAACCCTGATTTGTCAGTGTATTCCGTTATTGTCTTAAAAAAAAAGCTTAAAAAAACAACTATATATAACTCTGCTTCTTTTTTAACCTTTGACTTCAGACATAAAACTAGGCTACATCTGAAATCCACATTATTAAAGGGGACCTATCATGCAAAATGCACTTTTTGATGTCTTTTATAGATAAATATGTGTCCCCGGTGTGTCGGGGAACTCACGCAGCGTCAGAAAATAAAACCCTCTCTCTTTTCCTCCGTACCCAAATCTCTAAAAACGGGGGTATAACAGAGCTGATCCAGATTTGCGTCCGATATGACGTAATATCGGAAATGTGGACCCACGGCACTATCAGAAAGCTGCTATCAGAAACAATGCCCGACTGTTTTGGACGTAATATGGTCGGTGTTTACATTAGCATCGCTAACACTCAGAGCTAACCTGTACTGGAGAACATGTGTGTGAAGAAGCAGGAAATAAAAAGGAACTCACCTTGTGGTATAACCGGCAAGAGAGAAAGCCTTTGAGCTCCATACTGTTTCAGAGATAATCCTTGATAATCCATGATATGGCGTTTCATCACGGCAGTATTTAGTTTAGACCAGCGGTTTTCAAAGTGTGAGGCGCGCCTCCCCTGGGGGGCGCCAGAGAGCTTCAGGGGAGGCGCAGCGTGAGAAAAAAATAAAGAGAAACAGTGAAATCTAGCTCGTTAACTTCAGCTAACTTTATGCGAGCGGCAACATGGATCGATTTTTAGTGAAGTTATCTAAAGTGAGAGAGGAGACAGCGTCTGGCCACCCCAGTTGGCAGCTTTGTTTTGAAATAAAAGTTGTGGCTCATCGGACATTTATCAGAGAAAATCCCTGATGTCCGAGGGCAAGTGAATGCAGCACAAGACGCGAGCCTTGTAACCCTGGCGCGAGCGAGGAAATGTGATTGGCGGCGATTTCAATTGAACGGGCGGCAGAAAACGAGAAGCATTCGGACCCAAGTACACGGAAGGAATAAGGTATTTGCGGTCTACAATGACAGAGAAGAGACTGTCAAGTGTGGCTGTACTCAGCATTGAATCAAAACGCACTAAAGCTTTGGATCTTAATATTTTGTGAGGCGTTTTGCTGAACAAGATGGTAATCGCCGCATTCAGCTGTAATAGGCATGCCAACTTGATGCTCTGCTCACGGATGACTCGAGCATAAAAAACTGTTAAGATGATGACCTTACGTGTGTACATATATTTTTTTCTTTGTGGGGTCTGCCCTGAGAAAGTCAAATAAGATGGTGTGTACAACTACACTGCCCAGACAAAAATAAGTAACCACTTTGATTTAACTAGGCCAGTAGGTAAGGGCATTCCACTGGTTAATAATACCCCTGCATTATAGCAACAACAATAATAATAATAATAATAGCAATAATAATTGTGAGGGGGGGCGCGACTGTTCTTATGTTCTCTGAGGGGAGGCTCACCTTCCCACACTTTGAAAACCCCTGGTTTAGACAGTAGCTACCGGGTCCCGCATGAGCTCAAACCCCTCCTTTTTTATTTGTTATCAATTTAATTTTTTTTAAAGCTTTATACCCCAAATCAGCACTTTTGAAACAGGAAGTGAAATAGAGGGATACACTCAAAGAAACAACTTGTAGGATTTACTTGATTAAATCTTAGCAAGTATTTGCACTTACTTTTTCTAAGTATATTTTACTGCTGTAATATCAAGTAGAACTTACTTTCCAGTATCAAGTAAAATGTACTTATCACCAGACGTAACATTTGTGAAAATATTAAGTAAATCTTACTTAATGTTTAAGTTACACGTTATATTTATTTGAACTAATTAAGTAAAGTCTAATTATTTTCTTCATGGACAGGAACATCACTGTTATCAAATTATTAAGTAAATATTATATATCTGTAATAGTTACTGTTATGAAGTAAATAAGTAGATTTTATCATATTTTTTCTGTTTAAAATGTTGAATTACTCATTTGTTTGAAGTTATATTACTCACTTTAATTACGTAATTGTTACTCATTTACTTTTGAAAAATGTTACCTAATAAATGTAATAATCTATGCATTTAATATACATTGAGCACAAATCACACAACTAAAACACAATACAATTCAACTTTATTTTGTCAACAATTCAATCACTATTAACCGACAACATTAACATTATAATAACTGCATGCAACATTAACATTATCTTATCAAAAAATACAAAATCTACTCCATCATAGATTTGGAGTGGTGCTTTTTAAACATTCAATACAAACGTTTCTTTACCTAAGGAGGGGGAAAAAACATATAACAGAATATGAATAGACGGCAACAACTGTAATCCGTGTGAGAGAGAGAAAGAGGGAGAAATGTTTATACGGAGAAAGAAAAAAATGGCAGAGGGGGGACACAGAGATTGATACAGCTCCCTGAAACTGAGCAATTGCAACATGGACAGTGGAAGGTACATATGAAGAACACATTTTCCATGTCTTTAAGGCAGCAGGTTCACCTTCAAAGCTTGTACTTGTTAGGATTATGTTTTAAACAGGACCCAGGCGCAGGCAATGACTGAAGATGTTTAAATGGTTTATTGTTCGGAGACTCAGGCAGGTTTGGAGACTATGGAGGTCCGGAGTGGAGGTAGGCAGTTCAGGCTGGACTGAGAACAGGGCAGGCAGGTATGGTGAAGGAAGAAGCAGGCAGGTTGGCTGGAAGCTCTGGTGGCCGATGGCTGAGGGATCGCACTGGAAGCACAAGGAGAAACTAATTACAAAAAAGTACAGAATAACACGCAGACAGGATAACTGAATTGAGCAGCCAGGAGGATGCAATACCACTGGTGTAGAAAACAATCTGGCGGTGAGTTGCTGGGAGACTGGAGTAGATATGCTGTGTCTTGATTGGATTGATGAGGGACAGCTGAGCCGGTCGGCCAGGTGAGTGCAATCAGGCTGCTGCCTGCAAGGGAAACCACACCCCCTCCACACACACAGGGGAACAAACAGGGACACACAGGGACACAGTTTGGGCCGTGACAGTACTTTTGGGGTCAGCTTAATCCCATCCAGTCCGAGAAAAAGTTACATACAAGACATGAAAATGAAAGAATTTGCCCTAATTGCTCAGTTTGTGTACGGTATCTAGACAAATGTGTGTGAAGAGCACTCCAACTTTTAAATGAACAAGGACAATCTGAGTACAAGCATGGTATTGACCGGCCTTGACCGCTGTGTAGATGATTCAATCTATAATGCTTTATGAGCTGTAAACGTTTTGATGTCGTGAAGTTGCAATGTTTGCATGACCATCTCATAATATAAAGAGTCCTACATGTTCTCCCTGGTGAGACCAGCTTGGAAATCTGTCAACTGTCTTCCTCCCTAGACCTCAACTGGCTCCAGCCGCTCCACTTAAAAGTAAGGCCACTCTGTAAATGAACAGACATAATTTGTAATATTAAAACAATGGTTTAAACATTTATCCACAATTTTATATTACATTTCGCAGTGAAGAATAACAGTAATAATATATCCCTCTACTTGCCTGAGCAATCACTCCAATTAGACTCCACTGGCTCACTGCTGTACTGCTATGCTTCCTGTTGATAGACAGATATGTAAATAAGACAGATGAACTTCGTGAATATAACATTTCCACTTAATTAGACTTGATTGAATATTTGAAGAAAAAAAATTAAACAATTGGTGGAAACAGTATGTGGATATTTTACTAAAGTAAAAGTAGCAATACCACAGTGTATATTTATAACAGAGTATTTACTCTGTTACAAGTAAAAGTCATGCATTCACAACCTTACTTAAGTAAAAATTCAAAAGTATTAGTATCAAAATAAACTTAAAGTAAAAAGTACTCATTATGCAGAATGGCTCATTTGACAATAATATGTATTATATCACTGGATTATAATTAGTGATGCACTAACTTACAGGTCTCAAACTGCAGAAAAAATACTTTAACTTACTGTAAAAAAAACAACAACAATATAATTATAAGACATTTTAAGCCGTGTGTGTGTTTACTGTAAACTTTGGAAAACTGCGGCTAACGCTAACTCAGCTAACATTACTTTTCCTCTCCTCTGCTTTTGACAATGCTATTCCAACTGTTATGACCTTAGTTTTATAGACGTGAAATAAAACGTGGAACCTTCTTTAGATGCATGTGAGTGTTGTTTTAAATTATCTGGTAAATTACAGTTACGGTTAGCTAGCTAACAGCACGTAACATATCTAAAACATAATCTCTCAACTTTGTGAACTAATGCACAGAAACGTTAACATGGTTCAAGCAAACAAGAATCAGGCTATTATGCACAAAGACACATATATTATCATAAGTCTTAAACAGAGAGACAATAACTTACCAACACTTCTTTTTCCAGCCATGCAGCTCCTCCAACAGCCTTCAAATGTGCAACTGCAAACCCAACTGCACCGTCGTCCAAAAACGCGGGTATCTTGTCTTGTCAAGACGCATGCGCGGATTCAAACAGCTACTATGGTTTTAGATTAACATTTACTTAGTATTTTAAGGTTTATGAGCAGTGACTATAAATCATTTAAATAGTATGAGTAAATATATAATAAAACGTACTCCTCCCACACTGTAAATGTATTACATGAATAAAAGGTGTATACATTTAAAATGTTACTTAAGAAATTCTAGTTCTTTGTGAATCTTGATATTACCATGTAAAAAGTACGACAGTTAATTAAATATATTTTACTACACCAAAAAGTCAGTTTTTTGAGTGTATGAGGCATGGCTAGAATGGGTGATCTGTTTGGTATTTTGAGCAAAACACTTCATAGACATGTTTTTTATATATTTTTATATGTGAAATGTCCTGTGCTGCTGCTGTCATGACCTCCCTTGTAAAACAATATTTCAAAATCTCGGTGGGAATATTCAGGTTGAAAAAATAACATTCTTACCATCAACAACGAGATGCATCCCTCTGTTAACATGAGTAGCTCCGGAGCAGCGTCCAGAGCAGAAATAAAGCCCGGCGTCCTGCTCCTCTGCCTGGAGGATGTGCAGAGTCAGCGTTCCGCTCTCCATTTCCCCACTTGTGCCGAAGCGACTTACTGCCGCATTGAAGGACACAGTAATTTCTTTCAGTTTAGTTTCTGTGACCGTCAGCAGAGGCAGCAGCTTATTGGAGCGCACAATGTACCAGGTGAGCTCTGCGCACAACGTCATGTTACAGGTCAGCGAGACGTTCTCTCCCGCCTGGACCACAAGGGCAGGGCGGAGAACAGGTGCGGCTGAAGATTGGTGATATCCTGCAACACCTGAAGAGAGGTGAGGAAGTCAGACTATGAGGCTGATGCTAACATGTTACTAAATATTGGAGTGAAAAATATAGAGGTGCAGGAATGAGTCCCAAAACGCGGAAATTAGTTAGCATTGTAGCACTTTTGGGCTCTCTTAGCTCGTGTCAATGATTAATCTTTGGTTAGATACCCTGAATAAGGTGTGAAGTTTTACAAGCTTACAATATTAATTTTTTTGTGGAGTAGGGAGACCAGGGACAGTTGTAACACGGGACAGTTGTAACGCCTTCAATATCTCCAATCACAAACAAGCTAGAGTGATGAAACTCACTCTGCACATGCTCAGTTAGATCGAAAGATCGCTGTGAAAAAAAGGAGCCACGTTTAAATCTCTCGTGAAAGATATCAGCAAAAGTTTGTTTCTGAGGTAAAAAATGTTTAAAAAATGATATGATGTATTTTTTGGATACTGTCTTGAGGTCAAATGTCTAGGAATCCAAACTAGTATTATTAGAATCACTGTTTTGTAAGCAAAAAATATAACTAGCTAAATATGGGTCAAGCTAGCAATCAGGCGAAAACATGACTGGTGGTCCTGGGACGGTTGTAACACGGACCACAAAGGGGAGAAAAAGAAGAGAAACCGCTGTCCTCACAGACACTCCTATAAAAAATCAACTCGAGGCTGAGAAAAAAAAGTCTAACGCAAACAAGTCTAAAGCGAAGAGAAAAATGAATTTCTGCAAAAACCCCAAACCCAACAAGAAGCAGAAGATTCAGGACTCATCTGATGAAGATGAAGCTCAATACTGCATTGTGTGCCTGGAGAGCTACTCCAGGTCCAAGGAGATCTGGCTGCACTGTTGGCCAAAGCCTGGGCACACAAGGACTGCACAGATGGAAGTGACTTTTACACCTGCCACAACTGTGAATCAGATGAATTCCATCTGGTGTTCTGTTTTAAGTTCTGTTCATTGTGCATTGTTTGTTGGAGGATGAGTGAAACCCCATTAAAATCTTGTTGCCTTAGAATTTGACAGCTTTCCCTATATTTTTGTCATGTAGTGTGAAAAAAGGTAACCGTTATTAACATGTTAACATGTCCCTGGCATGTGTTACAACCGTCCCTGGCATGTGTTACAACCGTCCCTGTACACTGGGATGGTTGTAACAGTTGAGTGACTGTTTTTAAATACATTTTCCAACCTGTACTTATTTCATAAAATCACTTAAATACATTGTTTCAGTAGTTGACACATTGAGAATGTATAATATAGCAAAATGGCTATCCTAATGTAAATGTTTGTTTACTTATTGGGGAAAACCCAAAAAGTGTTACAACTGTCCCTGGTCCCCCTAAATACCCCCCCCCGGAACCCCTTCCAATGCTAACTTCTAGTTCAGCCAACAAAAACACGTCATCACTGCACCACTCTATAAGAACAGGATGTGGCCAAAAGTGTGTGCACACTTCTGTGCTGTACTGTTGGTCATAGTTGGGGCCCCTTGGTTCCAATATAAGGGAACTCTCACCCAAAAAATCTGTGTATCAATCACCTGTGTGACCTTGAATTTGAGAGGAATTTCTTTTCCTCATATGCCTCCATACTTAACAAAGAAGAAGAATGGAGAAAGTCTTACGGTGGCCCGGAAGTGCAAGACACCACAGCATTTCACAAAACACCACAGCATTTCAGAAAACACCGCAGCATTTCAGAAAACGCTACAGCATTTCAGAAAACGCATCAGCATTTCAGAAAACGCCACAGCATTTCAGAAAACACCACAGCATTTCAGAAAACGCTACAGCATTTCAGAAAACGCATCAGCATTTCAGAAAACGCCACAGCATTTCAGAAAACGCATCAGCATTTCAGAAAACGCAACAGCATTTCAGAAAACGCATCAGCATTTCAGAAAACACAACAGCATTTCAGAAAACACCACAGCATTTCACAAAACGCCGCAGCATTTCAGAAAACACAACAGCATTTCACAAAACACAACAGCACTTCACAAAACACAACAGCATTTCAGAAAATGCCACAGCATTTCAGAAAACACCACAGCATTTCAGAAAACACCACAGCATTTCAGAAAACACAACAGCATTTCAGAAAACACCACAGCATTTCACATTGGACGGAAAGGGTATTCCTTTAGGGAGAACACTTCTTGTTTGTGATTGGACAGAGCCAGCCAGAGAAGCACTGCTGTGATTGGTTGTTTTTGCTGCCAGTCAAGAAATGACGCTTCGTGATTGGTCAGCACCCGAGCGCAACATGTCCCAACACATCAACCGTTAGCTGTTAGCACACACTCAGAGCTCACAGCTCCTCATATCTGTTCAGAAACTGGACAAAAGTTAAACAAGTACAAACCACAGACTGTCTATATCATGGCGAATACAGTCGCTGCTTTATTTATGTCTGTATGACGCTGTTGTGAGTGTGGACGGAGCAGCTACAGGTTAGTTTAGCCTGATCGATCCGCCCCCTCTCCAGCACGTCTTGTTTGAATGATAGGAGTAAACACTGACAGCTGCGGTGAAACTCGACAACAAAATGAACATATTGACCGTGATTTAATTGTAATACACGTTTCAAAGTGATGCCGAAGTAACTACATACTGATACCGGTTAGTAAAAACCATGAATTAATGCTTTGACAAGTCTGCAGACAAGACGGCAGGCGAAAAGCTTTTAAAATGCGTGTTTTCTGAATGGAATCGGATCCATCAGGCTAAACTAACCTGTAGCTGCTCCGTCCACACTCACAACAACGTCATACAGACATAAATAAAGCAGCGACTGTATTCGCCATGACATATACAGTCTATGGTTTGTACTTGTTTAACTTTAGTCCCGTTTCTGAACAGATATGAGGAGCTGTGAGCTCTGAGTGTGTGCTAACAGCTATATGTCCCAACACATCAGCCGTTAGCTGTTAGCACACACAGTGTGTGCTAACAGCTAACGGCTGATGTGTTGGGACATATAGCTGTTAGCACACACTCAGAGCTCACAGCTCCTCATATCTGTTCAGAAACTGGACAAAAGTTAAACATGTATAAACCACAGACTGTCTATGTCATGGCGAATACAGTCGCTGCTTTATTTATGTCTGTATGACGTTGTTGTGAGTGTGGACGGAGCAGCTACAGGTTAGTTTAGCCTAATGGATCCGATTCCATTCAGAAAACACGCATTTTAAAAGCTTTTCGCCTGCCGTATTGTCTGCAGACTTGTCAAAGCATTAATTCATGGTTTTTACTAACCGGTATCAGTATGTAGTTACTTCGGCATCACTTTGAAACGTGTATTACAATTAAATCACGGTCAATATGTTCATTTTGTTGTAGTTGGTATCTCCCATAGGATTTACATGGAGATACGCCCCGCCCCCTCTCCAGCGTGTCTTGTTTGAATGACAGGAGCAAACACAGCTGACAGCCGCCGTGAAACTCGAGCGATTAGAGCGATGCGAATATTGGGTAGTCTACCATAGTATTTACATGGAGATAAGCCCCTTAAAAACCATGAATTAATAAAGCATTAATTCATGTTTTTTTCGCATCGCTCTAATCGCTCGAGTTTCACCGCAGCTGTCAGTGTTTTCTGAAATGCTGTTGTGTTTTGTGAAATGCTGTAGTGTTTTGTGAAATGCTGTGTTGTTTTCTGAAATGCTGTTGTGTTTTCTGAAATGCTGTTGTGTTTTGTGAAATGCTGTTGTGTTTTGTGAAATGCTGTGGTGTTTTCTGAAATGCTGTGGTGTTTTGTGAAATGCTGTAGTGTTTTCTGAAATGCTGTAGTGTTTTCTGAAATGCTGTAGTGTTTTGTGAAATGCTGTAGTGTTTTGTGAAATGCTGTGGTGTTTTCTGAAATGCTGTGGTGTTTTCTGAAATGCTGTTGTGTTTTCTGAAATGCTGTTGTGTTTTCTGAAATGCTGTAGTGTTTTGTGAAATGCTGTTGTGTTTTGTGAAATGCTGTTGTGTTTTCTGAAATGCTGTAGTGTTTTGTGAAATGCTGTGGTGTTTTGTGAAATGCTGTGGTGTTTTCTGAAATGCTGTGGTGTTTTCTGAAATGCTGTTGTGTTTTCTGAAATGCTGTTGTGTTTTCTGAAATGCTGTAGTGTTTTGTGAAATGCTGTTGTGTTTTGTGAAATGCTGTTGTGTTTTCTGAAATGCTGTAGTGTTTTGTGAAATGCTGTAGTGTTTTGTGAAATGCTGTGGTGTTTTGTGAAATGCTGTGGTGTTTTCTGAAATGCTGTTGTGTTTTGTGAAATGCTGTTGTGTTTTCTGAAATGCTGTGGTGTTTTCTGAAATGCTGTGGTGTTTTCTGAAATGCTGCGGCGTTTTGTGAAATGCTGTGGCATTTTGTGAAATGCTGTTGTGTTTTGTGAAATGCTGTGGTGTTTTCTGAAATGCTGTAGTGTTTTCTGAAATGCTGTAGTGTTTTCTGAAATGCTGTTGTGTTTTCTGAAATGCTGTGGTGTTTTGTGAAATGCTGTGGTGTCTTGCACTTCCGGGCCACCGTAAAGTCTTGATGAACTGATTGAAATGGGGGTAGCATTTTAAGCATTTGATTTTTGCTTAAAAAAATAAATGCTTTTTTTGTAGTCCACACATTAACCCTAACCCAATTTACGATATCAATCGTAAGTTGATATCACAACATCAACTTACGATTGATGTTGTGATATTACTATTTCAATAATTATAACAAAAAATGTTTCAAAAATAAGTTACCCACAGAAAAAAATACAATAACATTTAAGATCTCTAGTAGCTCCCAACCTGGGGTCACGACCCTCAATGGGTCCTTCTGTAAATCTAGCAGTCATATGATTAAAGGAATAGTACAGAAAATGTTCTGGTGGGCAAAATCATGTTTATTTTTTTAATGTTGTTTCTTATAACTCAGGTTTTCGTTGGTGAAAAATCCCAAAACAAAAAAAGATCCCCCAAAACGTTTGTTTTAAACAGGATCTCATCTAAATCTTATTTTGTGCTGAGGAACTATTTCAGAAACGTATTGAGGTGTGATAATGATCTTATTTTGTTTTACACAAGGACTACCCCAAGTTGCATGTAACACTCACAGTCTGCATGAAGAGGACGTACCACAGGGACAAGGTCATGCCCTCTGACCCCCTGAGGGTCCATACATTATGATTAAACCATGTTCCCGCTGTGGCACGAATAAAGGATTTCTGATTCAGTCCTGCCAATTGTTTTTCTTTCAGTTTAGCTTTGGTATTTTTGTCTGTGACTTCACAGCAACCACCTGACTCCAAATATTATGAGTCAACATCATGAGCATAAACATCATAAACAAAACAGTCATACGTAAAAAACAAATCTCTCAAGTTAAGGCTCATCTAATTCCAAATACCTTGAATTGCTCTATAAAGCACCTGGAAAGTAATTCACATGCCCTTGAATTTGATGTATAGAGAGCATGTGAAGCTGGAGCCATGCTTGAATTTAAACCAGAAAATAAATATTAAAATATGAATAGTTAACTCACAAATGAAGGTGAGGATCCATATGACACCTGCCATCATCTAATAACAAATACAGCTGGCTGCAGGAGGACTGATCTGTTCAATAAGTAACAAACAGTGATTTCATTGGGAGGAAGTGAGCGGGGACTTTATTTCCATGCAGGGCACGCTGAGAGACCACCAATATCTTTATTATAGCAGAAAACGGAAGAGTGAATTATTTCCATGAAACACGCACAAACACGCACGCACACAAACACACACACACACACACACACCACACACTCTCTTCCACAGACTGAAAGTGATGGAGCTGCAGCCCTTGGGTTTCGTTTCTGCGGAGATCAGTCAATGTATCTGCATTATGCAACAAAACCGGAAATACTTCAAAATAAACAATTGTATAAACCAAGAACGTATTAAGCGGCGAGAAATCCCCTCCACACACGGCTCCCAGACACAAACACAACACACACACACACACACACACACACACACACACACACACTATATATATATATATATATATATATATATATAGAAATAGCATGATTATTTTAATTGTAATGCCTGGTTCTTTCTTCATCTAACAATCAGGTATTAAAATATATTTCCATTAGGCCTAGGCTACATGTTATTATTATAATAAGTAATTCGTTGTTATTTTAATATTTAATTTAGATACAAATAATCATCCTTAACAAAATGATGACCTTACAACAGGCACTAGACTGAAACACGAATTATATAAAAACATTTATTTTTACTTTAAAACATTTACAATACCAGAATGACACTTTGATTAAATAACATGGAATATGTAAAGTCTCTAAGGACCTCTTTATTTTTAACTTGTGTTAGAGTTGTGTCTTGTCAAATCGATTCCAGGTGGTTTTATTTTGAAGGCTTCACCGGAAGTCGACGCGCTCAGCTGATAAAGTGTCCTCTCACAGGGTGTAAACACAGACATTTAACAACGTGCTTCACAGGAGAGAGAAGGAGTGAACTAAGTTTCCAAACAGCGAAAATCATGAAATACTTCAGACAATGGTAAGAAACATTGCTTCATTTATAAACTAAAAGCTTAATTTACAGTAGGCTACATTTAATTGTTAACAGTTTAATTTAGTTCGATTATTTTATCATATGTTCATACAATGATAACCCACATATTTAATTGTATATGTCAGTTAATAAGGTGTAATGCTGCTGGATTGAATATAAAACCAATATTCAGTATGATTGTTTCCTTGTGTTCCCCCTGGGAGCTGCTTCATGCTGCTGAGCGGCTTCATGCTGCTGACCTGCAGGTGTCAGCTGTTTCGTTTCTGAAGAAACAAAACAAGCCAGTGATAAACGAAACCTATTCCACTGAATTAGATTATAGTCTATGATGCTCACTGGGGACAGTACTGTCTGAGTTTCGATTTACAGCTTAATATGACAAATACTTAAACATACTGTTTGCTAGCTCAGATGAAGACACTTCTGTTCTTAAGCATTAAATACACAGAATATTCTCAAGTATACAATTTCGAATTGCTTACTGACTCATGATGTTATTTATAATAATATATTAAAGTATTCTGTTTCCAAAGCATATATTGAAAATACTTTTAACCCTAAAAGATCTATATATACATAATTATATACAGTATAGAATAGCCAACTAATTAGCCAGTAATCGGCTGTGACCCCACCCTGCATTACTGTAAGTGGAAAGCTTCTGAACACACTTTGAATAAATGATGGATATTTCAATAATGTCTGTTATTCATTCTGTATCATTAGGATTCAGTTCTACATTTATTTTACTTTAAAGGTACAGTACAGTGTGTAAGATTTTCCAGAATTTAAATGTATAGCATTTATTAAAGGAAACCTATCATGCTATATTTAAATGATATATTGTAGGGCCATACCTATATAAGGTATATTTATACGTTTCTGTTTTCGAAATACCAAACAGATCATGCATTTTAGCCATGCCTCATTTCGCTCGATGTGTTGTTTGCTGTCTACGGGTCTGATTCTGTGAGCTGCAGCTGACCACGCCCCCCTGCAGGAGAGGGGAGCCGCTCTGATCAGCTGCTGGGCTGTCAGAAGAGGGGGAGAAAAAGAGATCTCCGTGTTTTATTATATTATTATAGGCCTATAGAGTCGTTATTCATTTGTTTTAAAGCTCAATAAATAACAAATAAGACCTTTGACCGGCACTTTTCTAATTTTGTCCGGAAGATTTAAACTTTAACGGACATCTTGACCGGCGAAAGAAACTGAAACTGAAACTCTGCCGCACGGTCCCCTCGTTCCTTGGAAGAGGCGGAGAGGTGGGTGTTTGTCATCTGCTGGTGGACTAACCAGAGAGAATTACAGTGCTTGCCTCGACGGGGAGGGATTGCATTGAATTAAAGCAGCGGGAGCAAACGCTTGCCTCGGGGAGGGAGAAAAAAAGCCACAGCGGAGAATAAACAGAAGGGTAACCATGGTAACCAAGTCTTCTTCGCTGCTTTTGTGGTAGACTACAGCGCCACTTACAGGCCTGGCATATGTACTACAGCGTCTCCAGCGCTTTCGAACGGCAATGGCCGTGGCTGTCTCCTCCTGATTGGTGGAGTTGGCCCAATAGCCGTAGCGTCACCGTCCTGACGTCAGTAAAGTGTTCAAATCTGGATCAGTTTTTATCAGATCCGTTGCAGCCCCTTTTTTAGAGATTTGGGTATGGAGGAAAATAGAGAGGGTTGTGTTTTCTGACACTTGGTGAGTTCCCTGGAACACCGGGGACACATATTCATGTGTAAAAGACGTACAAAAATGCATTTTGCATGATAGGTCCCCTTTAAATAAACCAACAGAAAGTAACGAGGCTACAGTGTTGACTTAGTGTGAAATATGTATTGTGTTGTTTATCTTATTTCCTTACAGCCAACTTGTTTCTGCTGTGGATTTATAACACACATATACAATCTTATGTCATCTTTATTATGTTGGTGTGACAGATTATGAAAATAAAAAGTATGTGTTTCTCATAAAAACTTTGATTCTTTCAGGTTTTTCCTACAACTACAGTGTTTCCTGATTGGCAGTTTAGTTGGTGAGTATCAGCCTGGGTTGAACACAAACACAGTTAGTTCCACCTCAAAGGTGTAGTGTTTGCCTGCTACCTTACTTTCAAGGATTAAAAGCAATCTTATCATGTGCTGTCCGGAATCGAATAGCACACACTCTTAAGCCCTACTGTTATAATACATAATATTTAACTAAAGTGCCATGTCGTCAGAGACAGAGCCAGTTGTTTAGACACAAAACAGTTGCTGTTCTCTGCAGAAATCACATAAATGTCATCAGATCAAGGCTATTATTATTCTCAGGAGGACAAATCACACTCTGTTAGTTTTTCCGGTGTCATATTTTAATTCTCTCCTCAGTGTTACAGTCGATGAACTTTAGTTCAAGCCCCTGCAAACAGAGAAGGAATTAAGACAGAAATATAATTGGACCTTTTGGGTCTTAAACATTTTTGTGAAATCATCTGACATGTATAGATGGAAAAAGCCTCTACCGTGAAACTGCTAAAGACTGATCGACATCTAACATATGACGAGGAAAATGCACAACATGCCACATGACATAGTTGTGATTGGCCCCTGTGCAAATCTTGTTATTGTCCCTTAAACACCACACAATACTGTTTTCCAAAGAAGCATTTACAGGGTCTGTTGGCAACCACGGCCTGATTAAGAACCCAATGTTCGTGTTTCCACTGAAGCCGTGCTGGTTCTCAGCCCACAATGTAGGTTCAACTTGGCACTAAGTATTTACCTGGGTGGCACCAAGAGCCGAGAGTCGGATACATCGGAGGCATAAGCACACCCCAGGGCACTCTCTGAACAAACATTGCATATCAGGTGATCTCAAGATCCACTGAGATGCATTCAAATATTGATTAATATGTCCAGCAGCATCAGCCCTGACACCTGAACCAAGTGGAATTGACTCACCTTGATGAGATACTTTTCAACAGGCCCTGTTGGCAGAGCACCGAGGCCTCAAGACTTCTCTTACACTGCCTGATCAGTTGCCTCAACCTGCAATCCAGTCACACCCAAATATGGTCCAGACACGACATGCCCCAGATCCACCAGTCGCTGCTGCATCTCAGAACACAGCGACAGCAAATCGTCCCAGAAAGCAAGCGACCCTGCATGTGCCCAAGTATGCCCCATAAGAGGCACCATCTGTCCTGTTTTCATGACTTTAGCAAAGACCTGACCAGCCAAGACCTGACCAGCCAAGTCAGGAGTGGAGGCACTAAAAATAGCCACAATTCCACAATATCAGTGGGTTAAGGACATTGAAAAATGAGTGGGCATGTCGAGTCATTCCGCTGCTGTCATGGAGGGCAGTGGAGACCAACACCATGAAGGACAAGGAGAGAGTCCGCTGCTACACAGACCTGCAAGATTGCTGACCAAATTCGACATGTCCCCAGAGATGTATGGACAGCCGTTCTAATCCATAACCGTACCAACTGCCAAGAACCCCTCCAAGACCTATACCACCGCATTGAGGGTCTCGAACAGCACTGGATTCAGCCATAGAAGGATACGAAGGAGGAGGTTTGAGAGGCCAGCAACTTGTAGCAGATACTCCCTTTGGAGGTAATGGCCTTTGAGAAGGAGCATGATCCAGCGGAGGGGCATGCCACTGCCAAGCTGGCTCTATAGCACCCTTATGTTTGCAGAGGAGGACCAATGAAATGCTCCAACCACCCCAGCCCTTCTTCTATAGACAACGCGGCACCTCAGTGAGCAAGACCACGCCCTACGACGGTGCGGTTGAAAGATTGAACCAGAAGCGTGAGAAGATGCTGCAGACGTTTGTGGATGACACTGGTAAGGACTGGGACACACTTTCTAGTGTCACCTTACCATTCAAAACATATCCTCTTTGGACCACCATGTTGTTGACAGAGATGGCAAAAGTATACACATCCTTCACTCCAGTTTTCTTGCTGTCTTCTTCCTTGCTTCGTTGAAATAGCTTCGTAGGCTACTGGTTTGAGATAAGGCGCCATGTATTGCTTCCTGCTGACTGAGGCCGTCTGCATAGCTCCAGGGATTATGGGGAACGCCTTGAGCTGAGTTCGCGATTGTCCCTCTTCTTTAGAGAACACCAGGAAATGATGGATACACCAAATGTGTTTCCTGTATGACGTTAGGTTGAAATAAGCGCGCAATGACTTTAAATAATAATGATCACGCCACCAAATGCAGATTAAAACTAAGGTAACAAGCACTGTTTGGAAAATGTAAGAAGTAAAAGTAAAAAAGTTGTCATAAAAAGAAATAGTGGTACTGATACCAGAAATATCTTCTTAAGTACAGTAACAAAGTATTTGTACTTCACTACTTCCCACCCCGTGTTGAGGACACTTTCCTCCATGTCTTCCAGACTCCTTTTCCCTGTCCTCCGCCACGAGCCCCCTGTCCGTCACCTTCAAGGTAGGAAACCAGGCGGTGCTTCCCTGCAGCTGGAAGCAGCGCCTGGGGGAGGTGGCGCCCTCCACCTGCTACATCCAGTGGAGCAGCCCTGCCGACACCGTATTTGAGCTGCAGGGGGATAAGAAGTGGCAGGCGGAAGAGTTTCAGGGCCGGATGGAGGTTCCAGAGGAGAAGCTGAAGTCCGGGGACTGCTCTCTGGTCATCAGTGACGTACAGATTGGAGACACGGGGAGATACGAGAGCTTCATGGTGGTGGATGGAGTGAGGTCCGCCAAAACCAAGGTCTTCATTCAGAGTGTCAAGCTGTCTGTATCCGGTGAGTTGGGCTTATCTTTCTATTCTTTATTTCATCTCATCAGTATTGGGCCGTGAATTTCACACCTAGGACTTCAGTAGTTTCCTACCTGAACAAATCCACCTGTTAATACCATTATTACGACGTCACGCCTATAGAAACCATTAATATCATACAGACAGGTATCTAATGTTGCGGGAATGAATGCCGTTACTAAAGCAAGAAACCAAAATAACACAATTCAACAAGTCTCCTTTCACTGCAGCCACAGCTGCGCACATACATCATCTCTATCAATATTTACTTAATAAATGACAAGAAAATATAAAAAACATTAAAATATAAGTTATTATAGTCTATACAACTCCAAATCTGATTGGTCAATGCAACAGTTTCATTGCCATTCATTTTAAGCTGCAATGCCCGCACTGTTGAGTCTGAAGGCCTCAGGCAGATTTATTTGACCCAGCAACACATTCTGACTGGAATATGATTGGATAACAGCTCCAACATTAACAACTGTTACTGGATGCAGCGCACCCGAGCGCTACACAGAGAAAACTATGACACGAAGAGAATAGACTATTGGAAATAATGTAATACATGTTAATGAAAAAACGATATTAAAAGGTTAGTCAGGGATTCTGATAGTGTTTGGGCCAGCAGAAAGGCCTTGCTGGCCCTGACGGCCCTGACGGCCCACCACTGCATCTCATATCGTCTTCTTCCAGGATTTTATCTTTATCTCTTATTATTTTGCCTGTAGATTTCATAATAACGAATCACTTTTTTCCTATTCTATCATTCAATGTTACCTAATGTTCTCATATTATTCTTTCTTCATCACTCTTTCAATTTGTTCTCATCTTCTGCTTTCTCTTCTTGTCTAATTTTTCTTTCTACCCCAATTCTAATATCAAACGCAATACTCTTTTGTCATTTACTGTTCTCATTCTGCTTTGTACTTCAGTTTTTTCCAGTTTTTGTCTTATATCTTCTCTCATATATTCTTATGTGATCGCATTTATTTTGTCTTTAATGATGCTGAGGTCTTTACTCTTTTGAATATTGTTCTCTTTTTCCTCTTAGACTATAAATCCATTCTGTCTCGAGGTCCAGGTGAGGATTTAGTTCTGGATCTGTACACCCAACACTCTGTGAAGGTAGTGTTCCAGGGCAGGTAAGCTCTATTCATTTCACATTTCTCTCATCTATTATCTGCTCCTTTGGTCTCTGCTTCCACTCCCCACACTCCCACGAAATGTCTGTTTGCATCAGAGTAACACAGATTACAGGCTGCAAGTGAAAATATGATTCACCGGATGAAAGCTTAACAGAGAATGAATCGTGGGTTTTAGAAAAAAACACTTGACGTAGAACTTTCGAAAGTAGGAAGATCTAATTTCTTAATAAAACGTTTCATTGGTTTTTCCCTATTATATTTAGTATTGAGCTTTGTCATGAGGCGGTGCTGGAACATGTGCTGTACTTTAGTTTAGTTTAAGCTCCACGGAGACACAGGTAGTATTTACACATCAGACTGTTTGTTGCCGAGTAAACTTGAAGGCTTTTTGCCCTCTGAGAAAATGACTTTCACAGGAAGTGGAGTTGTATGGACTCAAATGTAGGAGAATGGAATCTTTTTAACCGAAGATACTTAAAATACTACTCATTCTTAGGTGTAATAAAGGAAAGACAAAGAGAACAGAACTTCCTGTAAAACAACCAACAGGAATCTGATAATGACTAAGGGGAAAAGAAGAACTGAAATATAATGTGAACTATTGAGGGGATATGTGCACAGGAGGTCAGGTGATTGCTGGGCTGATGGGGAACAGCAGCAACTAATAAGGCCAGGACAGACAATCAAAACATGTGAAAAAAGAATAAAAAACAGGAACTAAAAAACATACATACCACTGAAAACGTCCAAATAAACGAGGAAAAATATCAAATAAGAACTAGTTTTGTGTCTCAATAGAGTGGTGCAGTGACGCATCCTAAAACCCGGAAGTAAGCGGCGAATCATAAATCTAATCGATAGATTTATGATTAGAAAATTATAAAAGTTGGGTAGACGTGGATATTATCCTGCTGAACAAAACGTGCATTTATCAAACAGGTCCGTTTCCACAGACCTTATTTCAAGCTATTTTCCACAATCCTATGGAGAAATCCCATTTCTTTTTTTTCGAGGGAACCCATGCGCAGCTTACTTCCGGGTTTTAGGACGCGTCACTGCACCACTCTATTATGTTCGGTTTTAAGTCCCAATGCAAATACTTTATTGGGTTAATCTAGCGATCTGTAATGATTTCCTACGCCAAACAATAACATTGCTAGCTGGCTAACAGAGGTTACTTCCTGTGAGGGCAAACAGCCATGTTGATTAAGCCAAAGATACATGGGCGAAATTCATTCACTGTGCAAGTGTTCATGGTACAACATGGCAGTGTATGACATGGCTGCAGGTCTCCCTTGAAAAAGAGATCTATGACCTCAATGGGACCAATCTGGTTAAATAAAGGTTTGAAATGAAATGAAATGGCAGTGTGCAAAGAAAAGTGTCCAAATAGATGTTCAGCATAGGATCATGAAATAATCACTGTTCTAGCGTAGCATACAAATCATTGTTTTATTATTTTTGCCTCTAACAGAAGTGCTCTGTGCTCCACAGGAACAGCTCAGAGTGGTCGGTTGTGTGGATGAGGGGGGAGGAGGACAGTGAACGAATGGAGCAAGATGTGGCAAATGAGCAGCTGACAATAAAGAACTTAAAGAGCTCGGACGAAGGAATGTACAAAGTTATGGACGAGCAGGGCCTCGGTGTCAGCACCGTGCTGCTGTCTGTTAACGGTGAGAGGCTCATTCTTCTACTTTTCTTATATTTCACTGTTTGAGTCTTTCATCAAGCTTAAAGAAACGCTAAATGCTCTCTGATTCCAGCTTCTGAAATGCGCAACCATATAAATTAAGTTCTGATACAACTAAACTCCATTCTCTGCCGGTTTCGAGGGAAACAGATCTTTTCTCCTGGATTACGAACACAGTTTTAATCAGGGAGAGCAATCTGTGGCCCCTCGAAACCTAATGGAGAAGGCAGTTTGGTTGTTTAAGAACGTGATTTTTAGGAGACCAGGCTGGAATGTGAGGATTTTCTCCTTCAGGAAACACAGGTATCCAGATTGAATATCTCACAATGTCCACAGGTAATTCCAATCCACTCTGAATAAGGATTAAAACCACAGTCCTGAACCAAGAAATGTTTTGTTAAAAAAGTTTCTCTTTGGATTTACTTCATTAACTTTAAATATAGCAAGAACATATCCCATGTTTCTACAAATGTCACACTGATCTCTTTGCTAGTCTGCTTTTATCATACATTCACTTTCCTTTCATTCCAGATCCTTCTACTGGTCTCCAGTAACTCTTGTGTTCTCCTCAACCCGCCCCCCCCCACCCAGCTGCACACCTGTTCACGCTTCCTTACTTGCCTTGTATATATCCACGTATTCCCATGCATATGTTTGGACCCCTGCTCTCCTTTTTTGACTCCTCCCCTGCTTTCTAGCTGGATATGTTTATTTAGTAGGGCTGGGTATCCTTTTGAAAGATACAATACCGGTATCTTTAAAGTTGTAATACCAATAAATCGATGAATTCGTTTTTGGTCCGATGCCCGAAATGAGCTCTGTGGTTAACGCAAGCTATAGAGATTTTCATTTTATGTTTTATGTCAGTAAATACCCCGCTGGTGAATGTTTGATGCTCCTATGTGTCTTACAAATGGTGGTTGCTAACAAGTAGCTAAAGGAGACTACTACTAACTAAAGATTAGCCGCCTTTAGTTTAGCGGTGGTGTCATTAAGTCATTTGACGCTCAGGTAGATGGTTTATAGCCTAACATTAGCTTTACATTTCCGGAAATTGCATTACTTCAACTATTCTAAAAGTGGTGTTAATATGTGGAGATTATCTTGCTGAACAAAATGTATTAGTACCATGAAGGTTTGTTAGCCACAGATCGTATTTTCTACAATAATCCAAAATCCAACGGTAAATCCCCTTGCTAATTGTCGAGGGAGCCCTTGCTATGCTAACTAACGGGTTGCTCTAAAAAGTACATCATACCTGCACCACTCGTCACTGCAACCACATTGCATACCCGTCATGTTAATGGGAGCATCCAGTTGGGCAAAATGCCATTACTATTCCTCCCAAATTCAAAGGATCTTTATTAGAATACAATGTTCAAATGATTTAAAGAATTATACAAATGATTATACCCCACACCCCGGACTGTGGGTGCTGCTGCAGTAATGGGTGAATAAAGCGTGGGCACATGAGGGTTAATGCAGATATTGTTTGACTTGAGATGTTTAAAGTCATTTTATCCCACCTGCATTATTTCATTCAGATATCAAAACTGATAGCCCTTTTTGACTCAAAGTTCCTAACTTCACCGTTGGGTTTTTGCAATGCTGTTCTGCAGTAATGTCCATTCCAGCTTCTCTAAATCCAAGATGATGTCTCTAAATATTCTCTTGTCATTTCAAAACTGTCACGCCTCTGTCTCTGTCCTTTTTTCTGCATCAAATGTTTCTTTCATACAAATTTTAAATGAATTTCCATCTCTATCCCATGAAACTGATTTTAATGTTATGTGTTTTGACAGAAGGCTCCAAAGCTGTCAAACTCGCCCAGACAATGGACAATCAAGTACCAACAGGTGAGGAATCATCTTTTGGCATATTCTGGGATAAGAACCAGACCAAAAGACAATTCACTTGATGGAAAACATGTTTGAAGTAACTCCAATAAAAAGTGATCTGAAATAACCTCTATCTCCGCCCTCTGATGTGTTCCAGATGGTGCTGTCAGAGGCAGCTGTTCGGCTCTTCTTCTCTTGTCTGTTCTTGTCACAGTTTTCCAAATTCTTCATCTTTTCTAAGAAACTTCCCTCTACAAAATAACTGCACCTATATCAAAAGACTATGCACTATAGCCAGCAAACAATGTATGTTCTGTTTTTACTAGATATTATCGTAGTGTTTCTGAACTTTAACCTAAAAGCTAATGAGCTAGATTGGACGTTTGTTGGATTGCAGTGAATTTAAGTTAAGTTTGTATTTGTCTTCAACAGGCTGACTAAATCCAATGTGGTATCAAATGTTGGAACAAAACGTGTTTTAAAATAATTTGGAGTCATGCTCTATGTTAATAACAATCCAAAGCTACAGTGGCCGACACAGGCACACGTGCTACAACGGCCTTAAACACTTGTGTTAGAACAAACGCCTTGCAATTTTCAAAAATGATGCAAAAAATTACAAATGTGCCGAAACACATGCAAATGAATAAATATATCTTCACCAACTTGACAACAGATGTGCGGCATTGAGAAAATATTCACCAACTTGAGGAAACATGTGCAGGGTTTACTAAATGTGCTGCATAAAGGAAGCGCTGCAACACAACGGAAACCAGGGGACACTCAAAAGTGACGCACACAGCTGGGACCGGAGCGCTTGGTGACGTTCGTGGATTGTAAAATTGGCCAAAGTTGGCCAAATGTCCTAAAATGTTTTATCGGCTTATTTTATCAAATGTGATATCATGATTCTGCTGATATTATTGCAGATCTGCTGTGAGCTAGCTAGCTATGGTAGCTAACTTAGTCATTTCAAATATACTTAAAAGAACACTTACAGTAATGAAACAGACTAACTCTGCAAACAGAGACAGTTGTCCAACTTTATAATCCTGAACGTCACCAAGCGCTCCAGTCCCACCTGTGTGCGTCACTTTTTAGTGTCCCCTGGTTTCCGGTGTGTTTTGAGCTTCTTGCAGCGTTTCGTTTATGCAGCGCTTCCGGTAAATGCTGCACACGTTTTGTCAGGTTGGTGAATGTTTTCTAAACGCTGCGCATGTGTTGTCAAGTTTGTGAAGATGTTTCTTCATTTGCATGTGTTTTGGAACATCTGTGGTTTTATATTTGCATTGTTTTTGAAAGTGCAGCGCCTTTCTCCTAATGGAAGTAAAGTATGTATGAAGTATAACAATTTCTCAAATCAGAGGTTCAAGTGAAAAAATTGTGAAAATGTTTGGGGAATAATACAACACAAGACTGTTTATGCATGTATATGGGATGTATGTTTGTGTGTGTATGTACATATGTGCTTGCATTTGTATCTAATAAGAACTTTTTTTGTTGTAAATACAGATTAATTTCTATAAAGATTGAGTCACCTGTTTGTGTGATATTTGTATTTATGTATTTAGCCCCCAGTGTTGAAATTCATTGAGTTCATGAATAAATAAAAATAAAGCCATCCAACACAACCATGTCATATTTCCATTATTTATTGTTAAACGCCACATACATTTGTTTCCACTGGAATTACTTTTTACACAAATAAGTGCAAAAATATTAATTTTGCACAGCTAAATAAATAAGAAAAGGCACACCAGATCTTCCATATTCACTCCAATTAAGTGAGGGAATGAGTCCGTAAAGGGGTCAGTGTGGTGGTGTTCTGTATGATTAATTAAATTAATAATTTAGTCCCTTCTATTTCGTATTCTTCTCTCTGCTGCTTTCATCAATACTTTAATTTTTTTCTTCTGTTTCTAAGATATTCTGAATCCAATTCTGATATTGTTTTGTCAATCAAACCAACTCTGAAACGCTTTGTGTGGATTAATCCACCGCTGAAAATAGTCCCCAGGCCAGCCATTATTGCCTTCTGTTCTCTGGCGCCACCCAACGACCAGAGGCTGCTATGCCAGTGCAGCGACCCATTTCTGTTATAACCAACATACACAGAAGGTTGGTGACTCAGGTTGGAAACAGAAAGTCCAAAAGCATCTGTTTGAGTTTATCGAATTTAACAGAAGTTCCGCGTGCTCCACGGTCTATCACGGGCGGTCAGAGTGATAGTATATCTAACACACTTAAACTGGCTCTATTAAATGTCAGGTCTTTAGCAGGTAAATCATTTTTAATCAATGATTTTATCACCAAGCACAATCTGGATTTTATGTTTTTAACTGAAACTTGGTTAGACCAAAACAACAGCACAGCTGTTCTTATAGAATCAACCCCTCCTAACTTTAGTTTTATGAGTCAGGCAAGACTGCATAAGAAAGGGGGTGGAGTAGCTATTTTGTTTAATGACTTATTTCAATGCAAGCAGACTATGTTTGGAAACTTTGCTTCTTTTGAATATGTGGCCCTTCAGCTGAAATGCTCCTCTCGAGCTCTTTTCCTAAACATCTACAGACCACCCAAATACTGTGCAAGTTTTTTAGATGATTTTACAGAGTTACTGTCTATAGTGTGTATTGAATTTGACCGTCTAGTCATTGTTAATATCCATGTTGACAATCCCCAGGACAGAGGGGCTGAAACTGTTTTGTGTTATCGATAATGATGGACTGACTCAGCATGTCAAGGGTCCGACGCACAATAAGGGGCACACTCTGGACTTGATTATCTCAAAGGGTCTGAACATCTCTAAGCTTGTGGTGACTGATGTTGCGCTCTCTGATCATTCCTGTGTTTTCTTTGAGAGCTCTATTCCCGTCCATACAATTGTTAGGAAAGAGGTAACCACTAGACCAGTGGTTCTCAACTGGTCAGGCCTCGGGACCCACGTTTTACTTGGTCAATACATCGCGACCCAACATTTTGAAGCACTCAAATCTATTCAACAAAAAATCGTGCTGTAATATATACGCTTTTGAGCATACAATATTAATAAAAGTGAAGTACAGTGCATATATCCCTTAACAGAACTAAAGTATGCTTTTAAAAAAGGTTTAATCAGATGATGGAATCAAAGCTGAACTATATAAAAAGGCACACATGCTGAAACCCAACCCCAGCAGGGGGGTCTGGGGGGATTCTCCCCCAGGAGATTTTTAGAATTACTAACATAAACTACGCATTCTGGTACACTCTGAGAAGAAAATCGGGCCTTCAAAATAAAAGTTTGACTTTCCCCCCCCCAAAAAAAAAAAAAAAGAATTCCAATTTTTTTTTTCAAACTTTTCTTTCTTCACTCACACATCCGCGACCCACTCGAAACGGGTCCGCGACCCACTTTTGGGTCGCGACCCACCAGTTGAGAACCACTGCACTAGACGTCACTTATATGCAACGCGATACTGCGACTCTTGTCAGGGATCTGAATTATTGAAAAGAGAGCGCCAGTAGAAAACTGCAACTGTCATACTTTTTTGTATCGGTGGGTTTGTGTTCACATCAATGTTTAATTTGTTCAATAAAAGAGCATTTCCTTTCATTTATTTGAACATGTTTTGAATTTCAGCAGAAAACTATAAGCAGCAGAACTGAGTGGACTTTAACATATGTTCATCTATCATAAGTCATATTGTTTTCATACATCTTAAATCTAAATGCACAGCTTGATTGTTATTATTAGGGTAATCAATTATCCCCCACATCTCTCTTTAGAGATGAGTGACATGAAATGAAATAAATAGAAACATTCAATAACTTGGTCCATATGGATACCGACTGATATGATCTGCAGCTGGAGGGAATATGCAGCAAAGTGTGTTTTGTTAATGCTTTACAGAATAAATGTCAGGGGCGGAGACTAGAGGAGACTCCAGGTGTGTGTGCAGGTGTGTGTCCAGGTGTGTGTCCATGTCCCCGCTGACGCAGCTTCCTGTTAGAAGTTGGGTTTGTGCTTCTTCACCTCCACCATGAGGTGGTGCAGGTTGATGAGCTCCGAGCGGACGGCCAGGCTCCTGAAGCTGGGCTGGTTCAGGACCTTGTGGAAGCCGTGGTAGTACTGGATCAGCTGGGTCAGAGCGCCCTGCAACAGAGTCATGACTTTAACACCACTCACTTCCTCTCTTTTAGTCTATTTCCTCTTCCTTTTCCTACTTCCCTTTGTGCTAATGATCATACAAAATAGATATAATTTGAAATGCACAGAAAGTGAGCCCTAACCCAAAAAAAGAGAATTGACTAATGAAATCATTAGCTGTGAATGAAAGAAAAATGTATTCCATTGAATTCATGTTGGATAAAACCATTGAATTATGGGGATGCTAGGTTGCAGTGCTCAGGGGTTAAACATTTACTTTTCATTAATCTGATAAATGATAATAATAAAATACATTTATAAATAAGATTTCAGTGGCCCAGGGTATGTGCTGCTTCTCCCTGTGGTACGAGTGTTGGTAATGTTGGTTGGACTTAATGGGTGAGAAATTACATTTGTTGTAGCAATTTTAAAATAAAACCTTAACGGAAAGATTTTTTTGATAGATTCCCGAGTAAGGCTGCAACTAATTGTCTGCCAGATTAAATTGTTCACAATATGTCATAAAATAGAGATAAATGTCCAATGAGATGTCTATAATCAAGTTTGCTCAGTCCAAGACCCAAATTATTGATTTATATAGAACAAAGAAAAGCAAAACATCTCCATATTTGAAGGGCTATAAACCTAATTGAATGTGTTTGTTGATAGACTAAATGATTAGTCTAATAATCGATGCAGCTCCATTAACCATTACTGATTATAATCATCACTTTCAATCGATGAACCTTTATTTACACTTGGACAGAACACAGATCTACTGGTAATAAAGCTTACAGAATGAAAACAAAAGCATCAATACTTCAGGAAAACATGAGTTACTCTGAGATACGATTCAGTGAGCACACAGCAGCACGTCAGACATCATACTTTCCTTTTCTGGAAAATGAAACCTGTGAAATGTGTTTGATGAGTTTCAGATCTCAGAAGGACTAGATGTTACTCCGAGCCAACGTGAAAACAAAATAATAATTGTCATGTTTCCCTCGGGAGAGATTATTAATGTTTTAAAGGACCATTAGCCTCGTCCATGAATTGTAAAAATGATAAAAATGTAACCTCTAAAAACATATTCATGTGGTGAATGTCGTCTCATGGGAATCCACAGCCCAGGATTCATGTCTTTATTTGTTTCCCGTACGAGTATTATGGAGGCTGCATTGGATATACAAATAAAACACTCACTTATTTTCAGGAGGCTTGCTACTCAGCATGGAGACCCGTTCACATTGACAAGAGGTCTTTGTGAATATTATATAAACATTATTAAGTAATTTCTTTGCTATTTCTTACCTGTTTTTAAATCAATTCAAACCCTAAAATGTAGATATATGTATGCCATGAGCTGCTCATAGCTGATCAGAGTTCAGACCGGCACAGTGCTCTTCGGTATGCGAGGCCAACGTGGCAGATAACCCAGAGATGTGAGGAGCAGAGTGTTTAGACTAACATTTGAGAAGCCATCACAAGGACTCAATATCTAGATAAAGGAGCTTTGTGCAGGAGGAACATGGGGAGAGAAGGGCCAGGCTTCAGAATACTACAGGCTCATCCCAATTGCCTATCTGGCCTCCTCCTTTCCTTCACTAGCGTCTCTTCCTCACGTCTTAGCTCCGCCCCCATAAGACGCGAGGACAGAGGAGTCCTCCGGTATGAGTTGGGATGTCCTCGTTCACCCCATCATCACTTTTAAACAACCCCTTTTCTGCTGGCCGACTGCACTCAGTTTCCTACATAACTATATTGTGTGTATATATGTGTAATATTGTCTTTTTTTTGTATTTCTTGCAATAGTCTTAGCTTTTATAAATTGTACTTTTTGTTTTGGTTACATATTCTTCTTTCTGTGTCTCTGTATGTACCACTTGTACCAAAGCGTATTCCTCGGACGTGTAAACCTGCTTGGTAATAAAACTGATTCTGATTCACAGTCACTGGACTTCACTCCAAATGGACGGTCTAATAAAACCAATTACTATGCTAGTGAATCAATCTATCAGCACGAGGGAAGTCCCATCGTCCTGGAAGGTGGCCACGGTGACACCGATCTTTAAATCTGGGGATAAGGCAATGATGTCCAATTACAGACCAATCAGCATCCTCCCCTGTGTCTCTAAGGTAGCTGAGAAATGGGTATGGGCTTAGATTTGTCTCATAATTATTTGTATGAACATAACAATCATTTGTGTGTAAATATGTGATTTGTAAATGTAAAACACCATCCACAAATGCATTTCAAAGATTTGCAAACTCACAAATAAATTTGCAAATGTAAAACGGATCTGCAAATACGCAAAATATTTTTACAAATAAAAAAAAGATCTTTAACATTTACAACTTTCGATCAGGCATTTGTGAATCCATTTTGTATTTGTCGACCAAAAATGCGCTTGTGGATCTCACATTTCTGCTTGTGGATCTCAAATCTCTGCTCGTGGATCGTCTTGTTGAGACAAACTTTCTGCCGGTCTCGGCTAAAATCTACTCGTATCACTCGCAGGCCTGTCGCGATAATCAATAAATTGACTTATCGTACGATAAATAAAAATGGACTCGATAACTTTTCTGAACTCGATAAATTGCCGTTTACATCCGTGTTTGTTTACATAAGGATGTGACCAGCATTTTAGCCAGGCGGACTGTGGCCGTTTCTCAATCACGAGGATATTGGCTTCCAAGCCAATATTTCAAGGATGCTACGTCATCAAGTGGCGCAGCAGGACCGTTCCAATGTCCAGCATACTTGGAATTCCACCGAGGCCGCGTCCTTGGTTTGGGGGAAATTTCGAGGCTGCACATGGGTAGACTTCGCGTCCTTAAAATCCCCACAATGCTTTGCGCACGGACCAATTTCCCCAAATCTGTGGCGGAAGATGTAAGGCGGGGCCTCTCATATGACGCAAACCTGCACACTTGCTCGCCTGTTCCACTCTTCGTTTTCCAAATGCCAGGAAGTATTCTTGCCTTGCTTCTGAAGGAAGTGACTCGGAAGACATGTGCTACCAAGCAAGCGTACTCGACATTGAGAAACGGCCTGTGTCTGCCAGCCCGGCGCGCTGTGAGGGGCGGGGCTCACACACAGCCCATGACACAGCCAGGTCAGGAAACTCCGCGTGCAGCAGTGTAGCAGCCAAGTTAATAATATAGAGACAAGCAGGAGACAACGTGTGACTTACTCGAGGGGAATTTGAAGTTAAATGTAAGTGGTTGCAAAACCTAATACCACATCTCCGGTGTGGGAATATTTCAACGAGGCGAACCTACGGACTTGAATGAGCCGGGCAGTGTGTCGCATTTGTTTTAAAAAGGTAGCAACAAAAGCTAGCAATACGACCAACCTTAAACTGCACCTGAAACACAACCTACCCATTCCGTTTTCCCAGCTGGGAGCAAACACGGCAGCAGATGGAGAGCCCCCACCTTCCCTACAGTTTGCAATCAAAGATGCATTTGCCCGACAATGCAAACATGTTGTTGTTCCTTGCTAGAAATCTTTGAAATACAGATTTGGATATGGCCTGTTGAGGCATCTGGGTTTTTGTATGAACAGTGGAGTACACTTGACTGCTATTTTAAGGAGGGTTTTTTTGCTTGTGAGACAATGTGTGCTCATATTTATTTATGTATTTATTTATATATATATATATATATATATATATATATATATATATATATATATATATATATATATATATAGATATATATATATATATATATATATATATATATATATATATATATATATATATATATATATATATATATATATATTTATATTTATATATAATTTATATATTTTAATATTATTTCACATTTCATTTGCCATGTTGAATGTTCAATACAAAGTTATGTTTGAAAGGATGTACTTGAATTATTATTATATATTATCATTATGTTAGTGGTCTAAAAGGGTCTTACAACGGTGCCGACAATATTATCGTTTATCGCAATAATTTCCGGGAAAATGTATCGTCCAACAAAATTAATTATCGTGACAGGCCTAGTCACTCGGTTATTTTCGGAAGCCACGTGATGGCCTGCTGATGACGACATTTCCGCATGGTTTTCAAAGAAAGAGCATGATGGTTTGGTTTGTTTAATGCGCTGTTTTTTTAATGAACAGCGGAACGTTAGATGCATTCTTTATCACCATCATCATCATCATGTTATAGTGATACAGTTAGTTTGTGTTAGTTTATTGGTTCAACTTTCTTCATTGTTTTTTGTGTATTCAATCAAGCTGACTCAAGCGGGTCAAAGTTACAAAGCACTTCACATCTTATTAAATCGGCCTAGTTTTACCTTACCAGTGCAGTGGTCTCTGCACTGGTATCTATCTAGGGGCGGCGCCAGGCGGTAGCTTGCAGTTGCTACAGCAACACCAACAATTGGCCGAGCAACTGCTAAGCAACCCCAAGAAATGTATGTTTTTTTTTTTTATATGTGAAATTCATCATTTGAAAAATGATTGATTCGAAAATGATATGCTACAGTAAAAGTACAAGTAGCCTACTTCTGGGTGTTTCATTCAAGCTCCGCTCCGTGTGTGTGGCACGAGCGCACGAGTGAGCGAGCGAGAGAGAGAGAGAGAGAGGAAGATTGTTGTTGCTGCGCTAACCGATATTAGAAGCTGTTTCTAAACTAAGTGAAAGGAAAGTCGTCTCCTGTCAGATACCGTCAGCTCAGTGAGCTAAAGGACTCTCTCAGTGTTTAGATAGTTCACTTTAGTCTAAGTTATCTCAGTGGGTCTCAAAACAGTTTGATCACCATTTATGTAAACAAGAATTTCCGAGGCACACTTCATATGATCATTATAGTTAGGCTATAAAACAATAAGAGAATAAATGAACAGTTATGAAATACTATATGACAGTAAAACAAGAATAGAGTTTGAAAGGGGAGTGATTAGTAAAATATCCATTCAAAAAAAGTACATCTGTTTACAGTTCTGTTTCATATGGGTGTTGAGATCCATAGATCTCTTCATTTTGCTCTCAAAGTGCACCAGATTGATGCTTTTAACTTCAATAATTAAAAAAGAAAATCTTCCCGGGGGAGGTCATCTTTGTACACGGGAAGAACACTGAAATTATCTCATGTTGTCTCTCAAAAGCTTTGGACAAGGTTCAACACTGGCTGAACAACATTTGCTTACAGTTAAACGTAAAAAAAAACAGTATGCATGATGTTCAGTAAACGACCAGTCAAAATCGAAGGATCCAATGTGTTTTTAAACGGAGCAGAAATAGAACTAGTCTCCCACTTCAAGTATCTTGGACTCATACTGGACTCAAACTTGACTTTTAAGAAACATATTAAGAAAGTATCCAATACTATTAAATTCAACTTGCAAAATGTTAAACAAATCAGACCCTTCTTAACTGTCAATGCTGCAAAGTCATACCTCCACTGTATGATTCTATCCCACATTGAATACTGTTTGACAAACTGGTCGTTTGCTTGTGCCACAAACCTGACACCCATAGAACAGCTGTACAAGAGAGCTATCAAGGTGATTGACAGAAAGCCACATTCATACCACCACTGTACCATCCTTGACAAACACAATTTCTTAAGTTTTGACCATTTTAAGTCTTTTAAAAGTATGTGCTTTATTTATAAATGTTTACATGGACAGCCCCCCCCCCCCTTAGGGGAATTCATCCACAGAAAACACACTGGACGCTGCACTAGGTCAGAAACCAGAGGAGACTGTGAGGTCCACTGCAGACGGACCACTTTTGGACAAAATGTCCTCTCCGTTAAAGGCAGCTCTTTGTGGAACAGCCTCCCTACTGAGATACGGGATTGTCCCACTCTCAATAGTTTTAAAGGTCAACTCAAAGAATGGTTGAGCAACAACCAGACGTGTAATCACCGCTAAATGCACTTTATCACAGGGGCATCTCCTCTTGCACTTTATGTAGCTCTTGTATCTTCTCTTGTACCTTACATGTCGTAGCTGCTATAGTGTACTGCCATGTGGTAAATGCTTGTGTATGCTGCTCATGCTCTTTTGCACTTTTTGCATATCATCTATTTGTTTTTGCTATGTGTATAATTGTCATGTTCTTAAATGTTTTATGTGAGGGACTGCGGATGGAAATGAGCTCAAAGCTAAAATCCGGCATATTTACACTATTTGCATTTTTTGGTTTTAAGTGTTCATCAATGTGCATTGTCCCTGCTAAATAAACAATTAAATGAAATAAATCCCTTCAAACCTGTGTAATTTAGTTTTGACATATTTATTGTAATTCATTTGTCCATCTCTTTTTATTCATGGTTTTCGGTCCTGTATTTGTGTTTGCAGGAGTCAAATCTAATTTTTTAAATAATAATAATAATAATGATAATAATAATCAGTGGATTAATAGATTTTTCATTATGTTATTAGAGCTTGTTTCAGATGCACTTTCGTATTGGATGTTGTAATGTCATTTCTGGGGGGTGGGGGGGGGGGTCTCACCTGTATGATGCTGGTTCCATTCTTGAAGTTGGTGAAGGACCTCATCACATCCTGACTCATCGCCTCCACAGACTGTTTCCACGAGCTGGAAAACCCCCGAATCAGCTGAGTGATACGAGCTGCACACACACAAAGACACACACCACATATATATGACTTATGTGACACAGGCATAATATGGTGAGTGAGAGAGGAAACAGCGAGAAGTGTGCTATCTGAAAAAAAGGATGTGGGCAGCTGAATCTTTGAGCCAGAAAGAGAGGAAACAAAACTGAGCGGAGCGCTGATGAATACGCCGTCCATTACTCCGTAAAAAGAAACTGAAGCGTGAAGTGAAAGAATCCGGCTCACGCTGGCATGTCTGAGTTATGTAGGCGATTTGAAGTGGCAGCTCTGTTCAGCTTTAATGAGGTTATATTTTATTTTATATTATTTCTGAGCTTTGGCTTATTCCAGATATATTTGTATTCCTTATTTCTTTAAAACATACTTAATATAGTTTTCAATTTTTTTTTCAAAGGGGCCCCATTAGCCTCTGGACCAGGGGTCACCAACCTTTTTTAGGGTGAGGGCTACTTTAAAAAAATAAAACAAGTCGGGGGCTACTTTTACTCCTCTTTTTTTTGTTTTTTGCAGTGTATATATTTAGCACATTTTAACATTATGATATGCTGACCTTTAACCTTTGTGTGCTCTTTGGGTCTGTGGGACCCGTTTGCAGTGTTTACTCAAAGAACATGTATGCAATTTAATTATTTTAACCTGCTTTATTTGGGGGTGGACGGGCCTCACCTCCTCCAGGGGGGTCCTCACCTCCTCTAGGGGGGTCCTCACCTCCTCTAGGGGCATGCACCCCGGGAAGATTCTTTTTAAATGTTGAAGTGAAAAGCATCAATCTGGAGCACTTTGAGCACAAGATGAATTTATGGAAACAGCTCTCAACACTCAGATGAAAGAGAGCTGTATACTTTTCAATAATCCAAACATCTTTAGAATATGATCACAACCAATAACAAATCATTTAAACTAGTTTATTCTTATCTTATGTTACCTAGTTAGCATTCTTTCTTTTTATTTATGCTTATTTTACTAATCACTCTCCTTTCAAACTGTTTTTTGTTTTTTTTACTGTCCTATACACATTGGGATGATTTCTTATTTTATCTATATTAAATAGATAAAGGTATGCTCTCCCTAGCTCTCTCCCTAGCTCTCTCGCTCGCTCTCTCTCTCCCCCCCCCTCTCTCTCTCTCACCGTGTTGGCTACCCCTGCTCTGGAGGAAACACAGGGATTGTAGCCTCTGCAGACCATTTACATGCACAGAAACCTGTAGAACACACTGGAGGAGAGGGAAAGCCCAGAAGCAGAAAAGGGCCTCTTTAATTAAAGAGAAGATATCAAGCTGAATCAAATGGACTCTTCTCACCTTCATCGTTCTTCAGTCGGTCCAGCTGCCCTTTCTCCATCAGAGCCTCGGCCTCCTTCACAAAGGCGATCATCCCTCCGAAGGGGGGGGACAGAATCTCCTCGATAAACTCCTGGAGGGAGTCAGGATCCCACAGTTTTAGTAAATGTGAACATTTGGAAACATTTGACAGTTAATCTGCTTTATTTCACAGCTTTTTAAACGTTAAGAATTAATACTTTAAATGTTTTAATGTATATACATGTATTATGTATTTATTCCTGAAGTTAAACAAAAGGAAATATATAATGGCGTAATAAGTCATTGTGGGTAAAAAAAGAAAGAAAGAAAAAATAAATAAATAAAATAAGATCCTCTGATTAAAATTACAAATGCAGGAATCATTTATTAAAACAGTTTTCATAAAAAAAGTGTAATAATAACAAATTACATCAAATGAATACTTTTCCCTCCCAATTAAGTGGTATTTTCTTATAATTCATAAGGATCCCTAGTAACATGTTTTCATGTATTTTATTTCCATATGTGCCATAGCTTAAAGGTGGGTAAGTTTGAGAAACCGGCTCGAGATACACTTTTTGTTATATTCCATGGAATGCTCTTAACATCCCGATAGCAATGAATATCTGAAGAGCTTTGACAAAAAATCCATAAAAAAATGTCATCTGTGGAAGCCGTGGTACTGTAAAAAGTACGACCAATCATTTTAGCCGGCCCGGCTAAAATAACTGGATGGCCTACCTGCCTGTCAGCCTTCCATCTGTGCACAAACTTATCTCGTGCCCTCATTGGTCATGTGCGCGTTCCTGTGTGTTGGAGGAGGGGCTCTATAAGGAAGTGGCAGATTTTCTCCGGTTGTGTATTTTCAAATTCTAGCGATCTCGAGCCGGTTTCTCAAACTTACCAACCCTACCTTTAACATAGTTAACACCTTATTTTAAAAACCGGTTGTAGTCACACTTATTACATATATACATATTTCATCTGAATGGGACTGCTTAGATAGAGAATAAAAGCAACCCTGTGGTATTTACCTGGGTCCTGGCCAGGAGCAGCTGCTGGAAACCTTCCACCTCCTTACTGTCGTCTGCTGCCCTCTCCTGGACACAGAAAAACAAAGATTTGTATGTCCATCATCTAAGAGGACAAGGAGCAGGAATGAGGACACCTTTGATAAACGTGTTCACATGACAACAGGAAATCAAAGAGTAAATCAGAATGAAAACAGGAGGTGGAGCAGCATGTGAGGCTGACCATGAGGACGCTAAGCATCATGTCGTAGTTGTTGATGAGGAAGATGAGCTGGTCTCTTCTGGAGGGAAACTCTGCCGCCATCTTCAGAACAAAGTTCTCCACCTCCACCTGGAAAACAAACACTCAGGTTTCATTTTGTATGACTGATTTCCTTTAAGAAGAGCCAGACATCCCTGCAGCTAATACAGTATCTCTTCTAAAGGAGAAACCAGAGACTCAGCAGCTCTTACACAAATCTAGATGTTTACATAGGGTGAGAGGAAAGATATGCATTTCAGATTTTTTTCTTGAATTTTCCCTTTAAGTACGTAATTGGTTATTTTTTGCATATATTTTCTGCCCTAGTAACTTGATTTGTTATCAAAGTCATTTCACATGTTGTGGTTTATTTGTCCCAGGTGGCAAAACTGTCTATAAACGTACAACCTTCTGTCTTCTTACACAATTTTGTGTGTCTGTGTGTGTGTGTGTGTGTGTGTGTGTGTGTGTGTGTGTGTGTGTGTGTGTGTGTGTGTGTGTGTGTACCTGCAGCTGTCCCAGCAGAGTGTGTGTTTTCTCGTTGGTAAACGTCTGGTTGATGCTGACGATGGCCGACGAGAACTCTGCATAACGACGAGTGATCTGAAATCAACAAACACACACTCAAACACACTGTTGAAAGCGGTGATATGCAGGGGGTGTGTGTGTGTGTGTGTAGACCTACATAGTGCGGTCTGGTATCCAGTACTCCCAGTTTCTGAGGGTCTGTGTTTCTGATGCTGTGGATGTTCATCTCCAGGATCAGTTCAAACCTCGGCCACAGCAGCTCCAACACCGCCTCCCAGTACCTGACACACACACACACACATTCATGTTCATCATAATCTAGGATATAATGCAGAGAGCAGATGGTGGAGGAAAATAGAGCTCAACTTAATAGAGTGGTGCAGGAATGAGTCCCAGAAAATAGTTAAGATTTCACCACTTATGTCTCCCTCATCTGGAAGTCAACGTTTTTTTGACGTTTTTGTTAGAAGCCAGAAATAAGGCCTGAGGTTAACACAAGCTTTAGATATGTTTACGTTTTGTTCTACAACAAACATATGTCAGTAAATACCGCACTGGTGAATGTCTGAAGCTCATCAAAATGGAGGTTGCTACAAATGTCTAAATGAGACTACTAAACGTCATCGTGCAGAACTTTAGCTTTAGCTTAGCGGTGGTGACGTGAAGTCAAGCGACTGTGATGTGGTTTGTTTATAGCCCAATGTTAACAGCAGTGTTAATATGTGGATACTATTTTGCTGAACAAAACGTGTGTTTGCCACAGATCTTATTTTCTCCAAATCAAGTTTTTTGATGAGGAAGCCCTTATGATGCTAACTTTCAGGTTATCCTACAAAAATATGTCATCACTGCACCGGTAGGATAATGTCTGCAGACACAACCAAGCTGTGTCTTCCCCCTGCTGGGTGAAAATGCTTCTCAGGCATAGTTTGCTTTTGAAATGACTAACTGATGACACTGACTTGTCGAGAGCGGGGATGGTCCTCTTGACGGTGATGGCTCTGAAGCGGAGGATGATGTGGATGCAGAGGAAGACGGCGATGCTGTCGTAGCAGTCGGACACATAAGTGGACATGCTCTTCTGCAGGGAGGGAGCACACACACAATACACTGAATATCACAATATGCCACCATGTTGTCTCTAATGTAGAGTTAAGAGGAGCTGAACCTGAGGTTTGAGCACAACAGAGAAGGTTTGTTGGTCGTACCAGGAACATGCTGAGAGTTTTCCCCATGATGCTGTTGAAGAGGTCGAGGGCAGAGTTTCCTGTCACCATGAAGAAGTCGGAGAGGAAGAGGAACTCCCTGCAGCCGTTGTCCAGCAGAGCGTAGTGCTGGCTGCGGAACAGCGTCTCATAGGGATACTGCGGGAGGAACATATTTCATTTCAAGTGTTTACATCACACACAAAATCTTGTGTCACAATTTGATTTGGATTCTTGTCGCCATGACACAGTTTAAAATGAATTACATTTAGTACATAGTACTAAAGATATACTTAAATATTCTGAGCTTACAAAGGCAATGATGGCATGAAAGCAAAGTAAAGTGTGTGAAAGAGTATGGAATATTTATATTTTAAACATACATACAAAGTTAAACCTAGGACACATTGTAATATTTATGTATCCTAACTTGCACAAAAAACACAAGAAAACAATACAAAGTTGCAAATACAACAAGTTCACGTTGCATACAAATACAAATACAGCCTGTTTTATAAATTACAATGGTACACTTACCACTAGTTTTTACTTTCTTAAAAACTTGCCCTGTTCACATTTTATTCTACATAAAATAATATATAAAACTGGCATTTCTGTGGGATTTATCAACATATAACTGATTATTGCTTGAAACAACTTTGACTTAGGTTGTATGATTACTGTCAATCAGTAGCTGTAAAAGGTTTGTTGGCAGAACATTTTTTTTAATAAATATTATTTTAAATACCAAAAAAAAGATCTGCCACAAGATGTTAGTGTTGATCTACACCTCAGTACATGATGATAAGTGAAGCTTCACATCAGTGTTTCTGGAATACATTTTCTTCTACAAGTTGGCGTGTACTAGGCGAGACTAGATGGACTGAAATGTTCAATATATTCTCCCTGCTGTATGTTTGTTTTTTAAAACAGATTTCCCTTTTTTTTCCCTTTCAATAACCCGTAATCATTTGTGCGTTTTGTTCTCAAACTCTACCTGATGCATTTACATTTATAAAACAAACTGCAAAATGTATAATGTATGTTCATAGAATTCTATTTCTGTATATATTATATTTGTGTAAGATGTTCGTCTACTACACTGTATGCTAACTTATTCTGTTCATCGCATGTTGTGTCATCCATCAATGCTTATTTGATTCATTACTTCTGTGCAATGCCTTGCTGTCATGCTGCTAAATGTTGTTGTTTATCCAGCGCTTTTAGTAAGCGTGTTTCTCCTAATTTAAATGTTTTTGAAAGTTATAGCATGTTTGCACCTGTCGGCCACCGTTCATTTGGCACATTTTTGCTGCGTTCACATCGGACGCGATGCGAATATTCACTTCGCTCTAATCGCTCCTATCGCATCGCTCTAAACGCTCGAGTTTCACCGCGGCTGCCAGCTGTGTTTACTCGCATCATTCAAACAAGACGCGCTGGCTCGGGGGCTACAACTACAACAAAATGAACATATTTGACCGTGATTAAATTGTAATACACGTTTCTAAATGATGCCGAAGTAACAACATACTGATCAAGTTAGTAACAACCATGAATTAATGCTTTGACAAGTCTGCAGACAGACGGCAGGCGAAAAACCTTTTAAAATGCTTGTTTTCTGAATGAAGATCGGATCGACCAGGCTAAGCTAACGCAGTATATGCTCCGACCGTCCACACTCACAACAACGGCCTACAGACATAAATAAAGCAGCGACTGTATTCACCATGACACAGGCAGTCTGTGGTTTGTACTTGTTTCACTTTTGTCTAGTTTCTGAACAGATATGAGGAGCTGTGAGCTCTGAGTGCTAACAGCTAACGGCTGATGTTTTGGTTTTGTGGTTCTACGTCAGTGAGATCCTCATCGCTGATTGGCTACCGCGAGATCGCGTCACGGGAATTTGTAACTCGAGCAGTTATCGCTGCCCCCCTCCAATCGCCTCAATCGCGCCGCGACATTTGCATCAACCGCTTCATTGACTTTACATGTAATCGCACCGCCCCCAAACATCGCATCGCGTCCGGTGTGAACGCAGCATTAGACTAGCACTGAAAAAAGTTCAAATTTAGGAGATTCTTTTTACTAATAATTACAAAAAGTGTACCTAAAAATACATATCTAGGAGATGTCATCTAATGACAAACACTACTAAAACAAATCTGCCAAAATTAACACTGTTTCTATATATCCCTGCGAAATGTGTATACCTTCTAAGGACTTAGACCTTATCCATCAATTGAAAAGACTAAAAACTCGCACCAAGCAGGAAATGTAAAGATGTTTAGAAGTGTTAGTGACGTCTCACCCTGCTGTCTCCTCTCTGAGCTGTGTGTGGAACCAGGATGGGCCCCTCCAGCTCAGCAGGACTCAGGATGGCCCCCCGCTGGCCCACAGTGAAGATGGTGTTCCTGCTCTTCAGAGACGGCTTGGAGAAGAAACCTGCAGCAGGAGGACAATGAGCATCTGTCTCACACCCTTGAAACACCAATAGAACCACTGGAAATGATAAACTACCACCCATATCCTTTCTTCACTCTTCTCGCAATAGCACTGCAATTTACAATGTTTCCCATCTATTAATGTAATGCTGGCCTCTTTAATCAAAATGTACTTTCTATTATTTTACATTTTTAAATGCTGTAAATGTTCCCCTAATTTATTTAATTTATTTCTGTTTCTTTGTTTTGTGTAAGTAATAGATACGTTTTTTTTTTTTAAATGCTTTTTGTATCGTGAATACTTTTGATATCCACTGTGATAAATCATTTGTAAATGTTTTTTTAAAAGCTCAATGCACTCAATACATAGCATTATATTGTGTCTCCTCTCCTCTGTGAGTTGCCCCTCCCCGTGTAGCGGGTGTCTGCAGGATCGGTAAATGAAATCCAACATTCAATGTTCTTGGGAGGCCATTGTTTATATTTGTGACTTTGTTATACTGCTGCTACTCCCGTTCACTTCCAGAAACTATGCTCGCTCAACTTCTCTCTCGCTCGCTCTACACCTGCACACGCCACACGCATATCTATACATATTTCAAATGGGTGCATCCCTATAAACTAATGAAGAAAATGACAGTGTCATTTGGTGTCAAACCCTGCCCGGTTTGTTCTGACACACACACACACACACACACACACACACACACACACACACACACACACACACACACACACACACACACACACACACACACACACACACACACACACACACACACACACACACACACACACACACACACACACACACACACACACACACACACACACACACACACACACACACACACACACACACACACACACACACACACACACACACACACACACACACACACACACACACACACACACACACACACACACACACACACACACACACACACACACACACACACACACACACACACACACACACACACACACACACACACACACACACACACACACACACACACACACACACACACACACACACACACACACACACACACACACCTCTGCCAGGTCTGTAGTGTGTCTTGGAGAGGAGCCATGGTTGTTATTGTCAATCCTGAACTGTTTCCATAATATGTTTGCTTGCGTCACACAACAGCATGCGATTCCTGTTAGTGATGGATACACACACACACACATACATACATGCGCTACACAAACACTCACACACAGTTTAAAGCATACCTTTCTTGGCGGTGTCTTCTACTCCCATCAGGTCATCTTTGTCTGCAACCTCCTCATACTGCACACAGGACAGAGACACGTTATTGACCATGTTAACTGAGAGAGCAACAACACTGTGATAGAAATGCAGAGCTCCTACTGCCACTGCTGATACAACATCCCTGTCAGACAAAATCATCTCTTCATTTCAATTGACAAAAGCCCAATGCTTCTTTATTACTAGTCTAAAATGAATCCAAAGTGTATCGAAATTGCAATATGGACTAGAGCCATATAGTGCAGTATTGGTGAGCTGCAGAGATATTCTGATCTACAAGTCATATTCCTCATACTCAACAAAACAGATTTAGTCTGTTTGCCAGCTCATAGGGAAACCTGGAAATGTTGAGTACCCCAAAGCTTTATGTAGACATTTACAGTACGGGTCCCCAGCACATAGAAACTACCCGATGCTTACCGGCATATGTTGGGCAATTTGCACAATCAGCATAAGTTGTGTTAATTAGCATTAATTAGCATATGCAGACAATAGTGGGGGAAAAAGGCTTGGCCATTTGGACCCATTTTGAGTGGTTTTGGGGGTGATTGAGGACCTTGAAACAATTCTTGCCATTTTCAGGATCAGAAATGTCAGTTTAACCACAAAGTAGCCATATTTGTTCTCCTGGTTGGCTGATTTCAATGAATTTTTTGGTTGATTTTAAAGTTTTAGGGGACTCAAAACTGCCATTTTCGATCCTCAATATACCTAAAAAAACACTCCAGAATTGGCAAAATCGTCCAAGCCATTTTTTAGCTTATGCCAATTGCGCAAATTTCCCAACATATACAAGTAGGCATTAGTCAGTTTCTTTGTGCTGGGGACCCGTACTATACATTTATATCATAACACTTTGGTGTACTCAACACTTCCAGGTTCCCTATGCTGGCAATAGAGTGTATTTGTTTGGTACATACTGCATGTCCTGTGTGGAGCCACTGACCTGCACTTTGAGCAGCCGGCCGCTGTACGACTTGAAGTAGCTGTAGTAAATCTTACTCATCGTGTCCACATACTCATCTCTGATCTCCTTAGCAACTGTTCTCTCATTGGCCAAGAGGAACTGATAGAAAAATCTACAGCGAGAAGAAATAAAACAGAGTTAAAGAGCCGAAGTTTAAATGCTCACTCATTTATAGCATCTTTAAAACATACAATACAGTGTGCTTGAATTCAATCAAAATTACTATTATTTTGTATGCTTACTTGTAATTATTATGCTGGACTTTTCATGTTTGTTTTTCTACACAATAAAACCTCCAATAAAGAACTTAAATGGAGAAGAAGATTGATATATTCCTAAGTGGTATGAAATGTCTTGCTCTCACCTGTACTTGAGCAGAGTGTTCTGGGGGATCTGGTAGTTTGTCATTGGCTTCCTGAAGGAGTAAATCTTCTGGAGGATGAACTCTCGGATCTTTGACACCGCCTGAAGTGAGGAAGGAAGATAGTTTCACGTCAGCAACAAAGTCATTTAAAAGGATAACATTTGTTATACTTTTATTTATTTAACATAGAACCGTTTACCTTTCTACTCTACCAGTTAGAGTTCACAGTACATATGAAGAGGGCAGACAAATACTAAGACACTGTTTAGATCCTAGATGTTTGTAACAATCCCATTTTTCCAAATATTTATCCACCCTCTTCTTTTGGAGTCGGAGAGTTAAAGTTTTTTTTTTTTATTTGCTCCATTGAGCGCATAGAGTTGGTTATGTACTAAAAAGAGAAATGGAGGAAGGGTACCTTTGAAGGATATTTTTTTACTTGTTTCTCCAAATCTTTAAAGAAAAGAGAGATTTAATTGAAATCAATCGACAGAATGTCTGTGCTGCGCAGAATATCTGTTAAACTCAATGTTAATGCGCTTTCCTTTACTGAGGGTTTTTCAGAGTTGCAACACTTAGTGGATAAATACAGACAGAAAATTCATCTGTGAATATTTTATTCATCAACTAAGGGTTTAAAGGTCCCATGTCATGCTTTTCCGGTTATTACCCGTCCCCTTGTGTTATGAAGCTTTTTCTGCATGTAAACGGTCTGCAGAGTCACAAACCCTCAAAGTACAGCCTGTAGGGAGTAAAACTCTAACACAGAAAAGACCTGTCTATGCTGCCCCAGAACGCCTCGTTGGACATTTCTCTTTTTCCATTTTTTTCTTCCTGGTCATAGTGACGTAACGGCTCCGCGGAATTCCTCATACACACACACACACTCAGCCTTATCTTTTCTCAGCCGCAGTTCCGCGGATCTCCGCACACACACACAAACACACTCACAGCCTGGCTGCGGTGTCTCGCAGACCCCACGCAGCAACCAGGAAATGACACCAGTAATCCAGCTCACACTGTCCGCTCCTCGAGCCTCAAAGGGCGGAGCAGCGAGTCCCGCAACGTCCCGCCAACACGGCACCCAGACCCCACGCAGCATTCTCATCTGTTTGTCATTACTGGTTGCTAACAAACACCATTGTAACACATATGATGTTCCGCTGTAACGGTGGTGGACTCATCAGAACAGAGTGGGCGAGCTGACCAATCAGAGCACAGAGGGCTCATAGGGAGGGGGGGGGCAGGAGCTCCAACAAGGCGTGTAGGACAGAGAGTGAATACACATACTATACAGAGATGCTGTATGAGAAACCAATGTGAGTTTGGAACATTGAACAATGTAAATCTATTCTAGTAGACCTCAACAATGGAATTATGATCAGTAGAAATGGCCATGACATGGGACCTTTAAGTCATATCGAAGACGATATACCAACAATGTGATCTGTCCAGTTCTTAAATGTGAGACTTTGCTGCTTTCTTTGTCTTACACTGTAGTAAACTGAATATTGTGTGGCTGTTTGTTGGCCAAAACAAGACAACTGATGTAGTCATTGTGGGTTGTAGCAAATTGTGAACCTTGTTTTGTTGTTGTTGTTGTTGTTGTTGCTGCTGCCATACTATAATTATACTTGTGAGAAACCCTGCCAAGTTCAAATCCAACAAGCGATGACATGATAAGCTATTTTCAGGGACACATTTTAGAAGAATGACTGCTGTTTTTCTCCTTTTCTATCTTTTGTGCTTTGTTATGGCACCACAGTTGTTATTTATCATTATGTAAGTGCTTTAGGCACGACTTCAGGTGGTTGACGTGTGTGCCAGTAACAGGTTTAAAAAGCATTTAGTTCCTAATTGGTTTATTATCAGGTTTCATTATTCAGCGCTCCTTCTGAAACTCTGCCAGAAACATGGTTTGAAATGAGGTATGTTATGGCAATAAACCTTTGAATCTCTAACTAAAAAAACATGCCACTTCTGGAATCCATGTAGAACAATTGAAATGTTAACACTTGTAAATGGTACCCGGCAGTAGAAATATATGAATATATATCATGTACCCATAATCCCTGACTATTTTTTAACTAAGGAACCGCTTTAAAAAAGTGTGTGGGAGAGAAACTCCCTCTGGAGGGAACACAGGGATTTGAGCCTTTGTAGACCATTTACAGGCACAGCACTTATAGAACACACTAGAGGAGAGGTAGAACTCCATGAAGAACAATAGGGCCTCTTTAAACCATCGGCTGATTAACCCCGTACTTGCAGCCTTAAATATTCTGTAAAAAAATGTTGCAATTTAAAGAACCAACATATCCACCGTGGAGTTTCTTAGACCCTCCCCTTTCCGTCTCACCTTGAGTTTGAGGCGGTCCACGATGTCCTGGATGTCGGAGCAGGCCAGCGTCTCTCTGAAGCTCAGCTCTTTGGCAAAGTTGATCTTGTTGTTGAGCTCGTGCAGCTGCTCCAGAAACCCCTGCTCCGTCACAGGGCTGTCCAGGATGGTGCTGCGCAGACAAGAGATAACATCAGATCAACACTCTCCTCATGGACACGCTAAGAGGGATGCATCAGGTACTTAACCATTGGGTTTTATCTACAGTAGATGGCAGTTGGCTAGCCTTCAGTTTTATAAACAAGAATACTAGCATGGAAGTAAAGCAATTGTAAGTTCCTTTACAGTTATATAACCAGAAAACCTTGTTTATCCCAGGGCAAATTGGGTTTCAGGACCGTTGATCCATTTAAGAATAAAATATTAAAGGAAGTGCGCAATACAAATATATAATAGAATCAAATATTAATACAAAAATAAGAAGTTAAGTAAAATGTCCGATAAAATTAAAAATTAAAATATGTATCTAAACACAAGAGGTTAAAGTAGAAAAATGTAACATTGTACGACAAATATAACATGAATATTACAATATACAGTGGTTTATTAGTATTAATAAGCTATTAATGCTGAATAGCAAAGTTTAGAAAATTGGTTTAAACTGTGCTATTTCAACATGCAGAATAAAGGGGCAGTACCATCCTTTAACCACTGCGAAATTTGCTGCAGCGCTCTGCCCCCCCCGCCTCATTTACTGGGGGCTATGTCCACAGCAGTACATTGCTAGGCTTACTGTTAGTGCTCCTGTCAGCTTCTTAAACTGGAGGTGGTCACTGACTATGGACAAGTATACATACAACCTTACTTTAAACAAAACTATCCCTTTAACAGCTGTTTGGAGCCCCAGCTCTCCCCCCCACTCACGAGATCATGGCTCCGGGCACCACCAGCTCGTCCACCAGCTGGCTGAGGTGGCTGCGCACCGCCTGCCGGTTCTTCAGCCGCACGTTCATGCTGACCGACTGCTGCTGCAGGGTCTGGATCTCACTGCTGATGGAGGACAGGTCGCACTGGAAGCCGCTCAGCATGCCCTCCATACGCTGGAAGGGCGGAACAACACACGGAAAACAAGGGTTGAAATCAAAACAAATTTCCTCCTGGACGATTGAAGTTCTATTTTAATTGAATTTTTTTTAAATCCTGGGTTTTAAGGGGACGATACAACTGGGAGTTTGGTCGCAGATTGTCATATCGACAGAAGGAATTCTCTGTGGATTTTTGAGATGGAGAAAACTGAGCTGACAAGGCCTCCTAAGATCTAACACCCTGTATTCGTTATACATTATCTTCTACTGACTCCACATGCAGTGCATTGTGGGATCTCTTACCTCCAGTATGGAGTCACAGGCGGTGATCTGGTTGTGCAGCAGAGCAATGTTCTGACTCTCCTTGATGTCTGACAGATCAGCAGTCAGGAAAATAACAATCATTTAATAATGATAAAGCATTTCAAAAAACAACAACAAAAGGAAATATGCATATATATATCATGAACAAAGTGAAATGAGTGATTACAATGTTTGTATTTGAAGACATCACTGAAAGGAACCAAGATGTGTGTGGTAATACTCATATCAATATGCATCATTTGTTTACATTCATATTGTATATCAGCAGACATATATAAGATTTTTTTTTTTTGTCTTTTGGTAATAAAGAATACAAATTATTCTATTTTACGATGCAGTGATTTCTTTCTATTCCTTCTGTATTTGGGACTGTTGCATTAGAAAAGACACATATAGAAAATACCCCAAAACAATGGACTGATGCCAATGTTGATCTCTTTTTAAGCTGTAATATAAATGAAGTATAGACCGTAATATTCAAAGGATACAGTCTTTAATGGAGGCTTGTTCAATCCTCTGCAGCTCTGACTCCACCTGTTTGGAGTACTGACGGAGGTCAACACCCTGAATACAGACAGGAGGAGGGAACACTGTCACACAATTATCAAACACAGTGTACTGAGAAAAGCTGAGGAAAACATGCTATCAATTGGCTAATATAAATGCAGTTTTCACCTAATTGAATAGACTTGTATTTGGTTTCAATATCTCTTATTGAATTTCACTCCCCTAATATGTTCTTAATGAATGAAGGGAGATAGCAATGACAGATGACATATTACAATAGTAACAACAACAGGTGCTGAGCATGTCTTTTTTGACGACAGGTAGTATTTGTTTAGAGAAATACTTTCATTGCTCTCTTAGACCTCCATGTTTCAACATCAGAGCCACAATGCGCCTACCGTTTTGAGCGCCTCCTTCACAAGGTCATCCTCCAGATTGGCCTGGATATGAACTTTAGGAGAAAGAGACGAAGGGCAGTCATGACAAATCAAACTTCCAACAGAAACTCTGGACCACAGATTGTCTCTACCAGGCTGCAGTGTTGAGTTATGAACTTAAATCTGTAGTTGATGCAATACAGAAGGTTTAATAGGATCTAGTTGTCATTAAGGAATGCAGGTAGTTGATGCAGGTTGTAAAAATGTAAAAGATGTAATGTCAGGCCAAGAAGAAAGCTAAATTCATCTGTGCTGATCTCCTTTGTATCCAGATCTCATTATGAGACATTCAAATGCTAAATGTTGACTTACTGTCCACTTCATCCAGGATGAACTCATCAGTGGTGAGGTCTAGTTCTCCCAGGTTGATGTCTGGGATGTCTCCATCAGTATTCTAGAATAAAAACAGACATAATTATAAACAAATCATTATTTAATGTGGTGAAAGGTCTCTGGAATGATTTTATTTTTCTCCTTTGTCACTGTGAAGGATCACCAAACACATGTTCCCACTTTTAAAAAAACAAGTAGAATAAATGATTATGTTTTACACACAGTTTGTGGTACCAGAGAGTATATAACATATGGAATATAATGTACAATGTCATCCTTTTCCTAATTTTCTTGTAATTAAGGTTTTTCTTTTCCTAATATAAGGAAAACGTATTTACTAAAGTGTCATATGACCTGAACTTTTTACTGCCTCAGAAAACATGGATTTGGCAGGTGGCAGGTGCATACATACAAGTAATGGATGTTTAGGGTCCTTTGGACTGAGTCATTTTGAAGGCTTTGGAGATAAATTGGTGGTAAGAATAATAATTGCTGTGCTAACTTGAGCCAACTCAATTTAACTGCAACTACATGTTGTTTTCATGATCGACTGATTCATCAATTGTCAATAAAGTATTAGTGAATAAGGAAAAATGTCCATCATAGGTTTCCAGAGATTATATTTCCTGAAGTTGGGTCAGAAATGTGAAGTAAATTGAATTATCGGCCAAATATTGCAACGCATATGACGTCACATTTTTCATCCAGGAAATCATTCAGCTTTCCAGTGTTTTGACAGGATGCTAACAGCTACATTGGCTTAAACTTCAAGCAACATACTTCGTCAAAAATACCCAATTTGAAAACAGTTCTTATTTACACTCAAAGCTATTTATCTGTCCATATAGCAATATGCACTACAGTCAGCTTTGTACAGTTGCAGTTCATTGATAATGACTGTCTCTGGTTCTGAATGCTAACAGGAGACAGAAATGAGAGACCATAAACACATATTACAGTTTTTCACAACTGCTGAGATTCAAATAGAAGTTATAAAATGTCACCTCGTCTTGTAAGTACGCCATGGCCATTTCTGTCGGGTTTCCAGTTGTGTTGACATCGGGACCAGCTCCCCCAGCTGCAGCCACCTCCGCCATTGAAGCGAATTTACGCTAACGTAAAAAGAAGTACAGATGTAAAGTTCCGCCTCGTCGTTCCCAGAAACGGAAGAAGCGTCCTTGCGTTTATGAACATAAATATATGTAGACAATGACAGTCTCAACAAAATTAAGGTCAACTAGATTGGTTAATAAGTACTCCGTCGGACAACGTAAACATGGCTAATTATATTTATGTGTGTTTATTATATATTTTGTATCTAACCGGTGTATAAAATCGGTGGACCGACTTCCGTTCACGGACAGTATCAAACTCTCGCGAGAGCCTTTCAGCTTCCTCTTCGCACGGAACCTACTTCCAAGATGGTGAGTACATTTTTTGTCAACCTGGAATACTTTGGAAATCCGCAATCATCAGGCTTTAATCGCTGTTATTTACTACAAACATACGTTTATTGAATATTAGACAGTCTGTGCAAGTGGAGTGATGTTGAATTGCTTGCGTATTGGTCACAGAAATTGACATAGTAACTCGATTTACTGTCAACGCCGAGCTGAGGTGCAGCTAACTAGCATGGAGGCTTTTCCATCTATTGATACAACGTAATTTTATGGATGTTGTTGTTATGCTCTGTTTATAGCAAAGCTTTACTACCGCAAGGTATATTCCAAGTTACCGGCGTCGTTAAAGTTACAGAAACACTCACATTTAGGCGGCTACCTGTATACGCTAACTAGCCTCAAACCTCCTTATGACTTATGTAGTAGCATGTCTGGAGGCACGGTACATGTTTCACCGGTGAATGTGCACCGGCAGCCGGTTCATATCATATTGAAGATTGAGTTGCTTTGGAATGGGTAACCTATTGGTCTGAGTAGTTTTGAAGGTTCTGGAGGTGCACAGAAGTTGTTGCTTAGAGTAATAATAGCTATGCTAACTGGAGCCAAAACTGTTAGCTTCAGATGAACACATACTATACTTCCAGAACGTTATTTGGCCATGTACTACTGATCAGAGCTAAAAACCCATATCAAATTCAGACTTAAGAGAGAAAATAACATAACAATGCACAGTTTTTAACTTAAGAACTTTTATTTTGGCCATTTCAAACATGCTAGCAGTCAGTAAAGCAGTGTTTCTTGTAAATGAAGTTAGTCTTCAGCCGTTTGAAGGTAAACATGCTGCTGAAATAGGTGAAATGAGAGTAATGGACGGAAACGGATAGCCACCTGTAGAAAAAACAGCCATCCATAATGTTCTAGTCCCACTGCCATTACTGCTACCCTGATTTTAAGTATCTCCTACTTCAATAAGGGTTATCACCACTAATATTGATCAAGCATTTCAAGCACGTATTTAAAAATGAACAATGTCTGAACTTGAGATTCCTGCCCTCCTAATGTTCTGAAATCTTCTGTTTTCAGTCTCTTGTCATCCCTGAGAAGTTCCAGCACATTCTTCGTGTTCTCAACACGAACATCGATGGTAGGAGGAAGATCGCCTTCGCCATCACTGCCATCAAGGTATGGTTTTATAAAATGAAGTGCTTTGTGTTGTGGTTTTAACATGCCCTCACAGGTTATTTCTTTTTTATTTACATCTTAATTTGAGATATGGACCTCGTGGGTTATTCTTGATTTTAAGTGTTAGATCATACTTTTTTATCATATTTATTAAATCTCATCTCGTTTCTTCGCAGGGTGTTGGCAGACGTTATGCTCATGTCGTCCTGAGGAAGGCCGACATCGACCTCAGCAAGAGGGCCGGAGAGCTGACCGACGATGAGGTGAGAGAGCTGGGGCTGTTTACAGGGTCCTGGCAGTAAATGGGAAAACATGTTAAACTCTTGTCAAAATGGAATGTTTTAATTTGCCATAGCTTTGTGGATAAATGAGTGAGAAATACTTAAAACATTTTGACAATATGTAATGCCAAATGTTTCCTGATTCTGTGTGCATATGCGAAAATCAATACATATGTATGTATGCAGAGGCTACACAGTCATGTGTTTACTGTATGTGTGCAGAGGCTACACAGTCATGTGTTTACAGTTGTGTGTCTGTGGCAACATTCTGTAATCAGATTGTGATTTGACTTTGTTCCACTTTATTATTGTTCTTGTGAACTAACAGCTGTGTGTGTTGTCAGGTGGAGCGTGTTGTGACCATCATGCAGAACCCTCGCCAGTACAAAATCCCTGACTGGTTCCTCAACAGGCAGAAGGACGTGAAGGACGGCAAATACAGCCAGGTGGGTGACAGTAAAGCATTCTAAATCATTCCAAAAAGTTTTTAGCATTAATAGTTATATTAAACTTAAAACGTCAAGTTATTTGAGCAGACTTTACATGTCTTTATCACAAACGAATGAATGAATCAAAACTTGAAAGCCAGGGCTCCAGCTTGTTTTGGAATAGTTTTGTCCCTTGTGTGTTTAGCAGATTTCCTTTTTACTTGTCTGTTATTCACATGTCTTAAAGACAAGCTGCAGGAATTTACAGGGACTTTTGCCTAATTAGTTTGCTATTAAATGTTGTGTTAATGGTTTAGTGACATGTCAAATGAACTTTTATATTTGAAAGGCACTGTAGTGAAGTAGTTCAAAGGTGAACTCTATGCAATCCCTTAACAAACATGTTAACTGTTGCTGTGTGTTTGCAGGTCCTTGCTAACGGTCTGGACAACAAACTGAGAGAAGATCTGGAGAGGCTGAAGAAGATCAGGGCTCACCGGGGTCTCAGGCACTTCTGGGGGTAAGACTTCTGTTACCGTCTGCATTGTTCGTCCTGTTTGCCAGAGAGCACTGTTAAATCAAATCGATGAAGTTAGGTTGACTACAGCGTTTCAGCAAAAATCGAATCACCATAAGCTGTCATGGTGCATCTTCTCCTTGAGCTGCAGTTTGAAGCTGCTCAGTCTTGGTGTCTATAGAGTAGCAAAGTCCCTCCCCTTCCGGTGGACCTCCATGGGACCTTATTTCGAAAAAATTATGTATTGAAGTCAATGGAGAGAGAAAGATTATCTTTCGATCCCGTTTGAATTGTGCCACGAATTACACATATGATGTTTGTCAATTTAAAAGATAATTTTGCAAGTCAAAAAAAAAAAAGGTGTCGTAAAACTGTGAAGTAACACATTTGTTTGTGTGAAACGCTCAATGAACTACATCTCTGGTCAACAACACACGTCACCAAGATGGCCGTCACTACTGTCTTGTCAACAAAACGATTGACTACCCTCACTATCACCACAATGAAACACGTCCTGAAGAATGTCATGCAAAGCTGCCTGCCTGCCTTCCTTTGATTCTCTCTGAACTGCCTGGTCGTTTTAATGTTTAATGTCAACCATTTGTGCAGATAGCATGAAGTAGAGAAGATCGCCGAAGCTAGCGTTAGCGTTAGCATTTCTCCCCCGGGCTTAAATTGTGTATTATAGAATGATCACACCGGTGACAGTACTATTCAAAGGGTTCACGAAATATGACTACTACTCTTACTGTTTAACATTTTGGGTTACTTAATGTTACTTCATGTTAAGGCTAATAAAAATGACAAGGCTGTAATGCTAACTAACGTGCTAGCTACTAGCTAGGTAACTAACTTGACCCAGACACTCCTAGTCCTTTCATCAGACGGGAAGCAAAAGAACGAGCAAGACCCATTGCTGGTATGAACAACCTGGTACTAAGCACACAGGCATCTTGTTAAAGTTATCTTATCTTAGCTATGGCGCTGATCTTAGCTATCTCTTAGTGGAGGAAAACAATTGTGACATCACTTACGCGACTCTGGGATTTGTAGTCTTTCTAGTTGCGTATTTTTCATAGTCTTATATTTCAACAGTTTTACGATAAACTGACTTTTTTGACATGGAAATTATTTTTTAAGATTGACAAACATCATATGTGTAATTCATGGCACAATTCAAACGGGACCGAAAGATAAGTTTTCTCTCTCCATTGACTTCAATACATTATTTTTCCGAAATAAGGTCCCATGGGTCGGAAGTAGATGGGCGTGACTTCGCCACTCTGACATTACATTTTGTTAAGGGCTAATTAAAAAAGCTGAAGTAGTTTTAATTATTTCAGTGGGATACTAACTCATAGCGCATTGTATTAAAGTTGTACATTTGGCATCTCAGGGCTTTGGTGCATTACATACTATCAGATAAATCTGGAAGGTTGTACTGCTGGATCTAACTGTTTTTTATAAGCTATGTTTTTTTTTTTTTAAACTAAACTTTATCCTCTCTCCTTCCAGTCTGCGTGTGCGTGGTCAGCACACCAAGACCACCGGCCGTCGTGGTCGCACCGTTGGTGTGTCCAAGAAGAAGTAAACCCCCTGCTTCCCCTTGTTTCAATAAAAGTCACTGTGGACAGATCTGTTGTAGCATCGTGTTTCTCTTGATACTGCTGAAGGGAACGGCTTCACTAAAGCTCATGAGAGAAAAAGTCAACATTTAATGCAAGTCCCTGTATTCTTTAAATGACTCTTCTGTAGTCGCAGCTTAAAGCAACTCTGACACTTTAGAAATGCCTCCCAGCAAAGCTCTACCTAACGCCACGTGAACAATTCTGAATCAGTGCAGTCAAAACTAAACACTGTTTGCACAAAGCTGTTTTATTCTGTGCCACATTACTGTGAGAGTATAACTGAAGAAAACATTTCTTAATATACAAATATTCCATAAAACTTAGGTAAGCTAGGCAAAGTTATGGCTGCAGGAAATATAAAGTGCATTAAAACAAATGGTTAAATCAAACTAGTCTTAATGGCCTATAAGGAGACCATGACCCCCTGTGGAGTGTGGAAACCATAAAGTGAAATGTTGGTGGGTTTCAAAGCTACATATTTTAAGGTGGAACACGGTCTACACTTGCAAATTAAGTCTTAAGTTACACCTGAAAGTAATATTAAAAAAAATCTATCTATCCAAAAACAACTCCATGAATAATATTGCTCATAAAATGTGTAGTCACCCTGTCCTACCCCAGTGCATGCTCCATAGGCTCCAGCCCTTGATAATGTATAAGATACATTCGCAGAAAAGGAAATGTTCAGTACAGCTGTGTCTTAATCTAAACCATGTAGTTCTGACTCTGGTGGCATAAAAACAAGTGGTACTGTAGAACAAGAAAGCCGATTAATTCTAGACAATCATACATGAATAATGCAGACCTTACACTTTTCTTTTTTCTTCACATTTTTCCACAAAACTGGTCTCATTGAAGACAAAATAATAACTTGAGTCTGAAAGTCAAAGTTAAAACAGATCAGTTACAAACCTTTCACATAACAGGAAATGATGAATCTCATTAACTTGAGCAATACATTTATGGACAACTATCAGTCTGAAGAAAGAAAGTGTGAGGAATTTAAAAGTATTTGATCGGACACACTTTGAAATACAACAAATTAACTTCTTGGAATTATAATCTAATACTTTTGACTTGAAATGAAATCTCTTAATTTTAATGTTTGAAAATGCTAACTAAGTAATCCATAGATTTGACAAAGGAAGTGTCAACAAAATGAGATAATTAAAAACGACTCACATTTATGACACAATATATTTAACTTTTCCTGGCTGGCTGCCACATGTATTAACCTTAATAGATTGATGTCATTTCCTATTAAAAGACATTCAATTGTGTTATTTTGTGAGTATTTGAAGAAAAATCTAACTTGGAATGTAAAACCTTTTTTACCCTGATACCTAAAAATAATTCATTCACATTTCAGACACCCCGACTGCACAGCTTTGTCTTTATAAACGTGGTCGGTTGTTAAATGTTGGAACGCAGCCTGATTATTCACCAGAACACAAGCCAAGACTCTTTTTTTGCTGTTATTAAGAGGTTTGGGTTTTTTCTTTCTTATTCCAGGCATCTAACCAAATCTAATAAATAAAAAAAACGATTTAAAAGCAAGTGAACCCAGGGTTTAGGCCTCATTCTGGAACCACACTGGGGTGCCCCCCCTCACCCGTCCCTCTGAGGGGGGGGGGACTTCTGCTGTGGCTGCGGGGCTGCCTGCTGCTGGTCCCTGGTGGGAGCATAGTGAATCTCCAGAGGCTTCCTCACCTTCCAGTATTTCTCCTCGACCAACTCCAGAGTCAGAGAGCCGTTCAGCTTCTGAGGGAGGGGGAGGGAGGGAGGGGGGGTTGAATGAATGGAAAATAATGAAGACAATGAAACTGTAGTGATTAAAAGATACAGTAGATGCTAGCTAAATGTGCACTGAAGCAGTAGATGTTTTTCTGGATTTGTGTTCGGACCGAAACTGAAATTAATTTCTATATGTTGTTTGTGTTCAAATTCATCTACGGTCTGTGTTTAGGGCTGCAAATTAAAATGATTGCTGTTAATGATTTAGCTGCAGATTATGTTCTAGATTCATTGTGAAATACCTAAAGGTACCACTTAACGATGTTGCATTTTATACTTATACGGATTCTTACATTGTAGAAATGTTTAAATCATTTAAAAAATAGAAATAATTTTTCTTATTTTCTGATTTGTTTTCTATGTTTATGCATCACTTCTTTTTGTGTATGTTATGTGTTATATAAATATATACATTTTCTTCTTCCATTACGTTAGTCTTGATAAAGATGTGCATTTTTTTGTTCATGCTTAAAGGTGGGGTAGGTAAGTTTGAGAAACCGGCTCGAGATACACTTTTTGTTATATTCCATGGAATGCTCTTAACATCCCGATAGCAATGAATATCTTAAGTGCTTTGACAAAAAATCCATAAAAAAATGTCATCTGTGGAAGCTGTAGTACTGTAAAAAGTACGACCAATCATTTTAGCCGGCCCGGCTAAAATAACTGGATGTCCTACCTGCCTGTCAGCCTTCCATCTGTGCACAAACTTATCTCGTGCCCTCATTGGTCATGTGCGCGTTCGTGTGTGTTGGAGGAGGGGCTCTATAAGGAAGTGGCAGATTTTCTCCGGTCGTGTATTTTCAAATTCTAGCGATCTCGAGCCGGTTTCTCAAACTTACCTACCCTACCTTTAATTATAGTTTTTTTATTGTTTTTTTTCCAGTGCTGGAACAAAAAGTCTACATTTTTTACGACATTTGCACTATTTTTTTTAAATGTTAAAGATACTTTTGTAGATCAATTTATAATATAATATGTATAATGAAAAGAGTTGTTAGTCTAAGCACTGGTATTAGCAAACACTACCACATTTATTTTTCAGTCGGGCACTACGAATGTTAAATTGACAGCCAGTGAACGGTTACTAGCATTCCTGTCCAAAGTCAGACGAGGACTTTGTTAAATATAATTCTTATATTTAAGCACATTGTAAGCTCTTGTGATGGCAGTGGCAGAGTGCTGGTTGGATGACTCACAGAGAACTGTCCTCCTCTCGTCAGGATGTAGATGGTGTGATGTTTCTCACTGATGGTTTTCAGACCCGAGCCCTCTCCATTTCCTGCTCTTCCTCCACTCTCTCCTCCTCCCCCTGCTGCTCCTGTTTCCTCTTCTCTTCCTCCCCCTCCCTCCTCCCTCCCTCTGTCCTCCATCTCTGCGTCGGTCTGTCTGTCGTCCAGGGCGATGCGCAGAGCCAGGTATTTGGAAATGTGGTCCACAGTGGCATTGACCGTCGTGCTCAACAATCTGCAGGGAGAACGTTTGATAAACAATGAGTAGAAATGAAAGACAGATATTCATATACACTACTGAAGCATTCACCGCACAAAATTAATGTTTAAATCATTTTAATCTGATTTAAATTCAAGTTAAAAGGCAGTTTCTCATCTGTGAAGGTTTAACCTTTTCTGTAAACTGACACGGTTAGCAAAGTTGTTAGTGTGACTATTGTAGTGACACAATACCAGTCAGCTGTCTGCAGATATTACACCAAATATAAAGAGATGGACATTTAAAGTAAAAAATGTGGGTTTGCCTATAAATTCTGTCGTCCCTGCCGCAATCTATATTGTTGATGAAAAGAGACCAAACTACAATACATACAGAAAAAAAATCAACTTTAGTTAAATCTTTCTTAAATACTTGATTTTCTTTACTGTGAACAAAAAAGAGGAAAGAAAATATTATAGACTGTACTATTTTAGACTAAAATTGTCAATAGCTTTCGTTGGCTAAGACTATAGGAAAATATTTACAGGGTTTCTTTCACTAAAATAAAGATACAATTAAATACAATATCATTTGAGTTCACAGATCAGAGGCCTTACTGCTTTCCCTCTTCTTACAGTACGCTCCTTCAGCGGGGAGGTTGAGTTACATTTTTCGATTCCACTAAAACATTTTTCATACAAATATTCTGTTTAGGGAACAGTACATTCAACAAGTTCTTCCTGTTGAATTTTATTAAAAAATACAATATGTTTTGGAAAAACGATTGTTAAAACCCATTACAAGGTGGCACAACACAACATGAAATGAGACATAAGCCGCTTTCACACCAATTACTTGGTACTCCCAGGGAAGATTACGCAAATGAAGCCGCTGACGTCACTTCTTCTTCTTCTGCTTTGGGTTTACTGACAGGCCGCAAACCACTTCACGGCGTATACTGCCACCCGAAGTTCTCAGAACTAAGTACTCTTTTTGGTGTGAACGCAAAATTCCAGGCACTAACGGAACTAAACGGGAAAAGTACGGGTAAAAGTACTCCGGTGTGAACGTGCCTATTATTAGCTCTAACGAAGAGAGGCAGTAAAGATTCTGATTGTTAATTGAACTCTTGACCTAGTTATTTAAAATGTTGAAGGCATCCTAGTAACTCTGTTTTGTGTTTTGTTTTGTATTTAATGTTTTTTTTTTTTTTGTGTACGAGTTGGTATTGTCATCTGAGTTTACTGCAGAGTCATTTATGTGAGTGTTTTGCCTGTACTAAATATAAAAATATAAATAAAGAAACCTCTAAATGGTCCAGTCTCACCTGGTCTGGTTGTAGTCCTGGCCGCGGACCAGCTCGGGGTGGGGTTTGAACATCAGCTCGATTTTGGAGGCCGACCCCTCTTTGTGGTGGCGTGGCGAGGGGGTGGGGTTGCCGCTGTCTGCCTCAGGCCCCGAGCCCTCGTCTGAAGCCCGCGGCCGCTTCCTGCTCGGCCCGGCCACTGAGGGGGTCTGCCCGGGGGGGGGGGGGATGTGGGCGAAGTCATGAGACAGGTGGGAGCGAGCGTCGGCATTGTCCTCCCCCCCGCTGAAAGTGGTGTTGTCACTCTCCTGGATCGGCTTCTTCACCCGGTGGTTCCTGCGGGGGGGGGGGGGGGGGGAGTTCTGGTCAGTCTGTTTCAATATGTCCATTATCAGACATCTTCTATGTTGAGGTCAACATTTTAACAGATATTATAGCATGTAATGTTAACATAACAGAGTGAAATAATATAAGTTATAATAACATGTAAGGTGTAAAAAACTGGTGTTTTTATTATAAATCAATGTGAGGGAGGCCATCGTATTCTTTTAAAGGGAAAGCGGTTAAAACTGTTTATTTCTATCAAGTTTGGCGTGTCACTTAATACTGTTTTCAATAGAGAAAAAATAAAATAAATTACAAAAAAATAACGCAAATAAAAGAAGGAAAATAATATTCTTTTTGTATTCTCGTTTTGTGGGCAGAAACAAATAAGTCAAAGAAAGTAAAAAAAAGATCATATAAGATATACTATATTAAAGTGGACCTATCATGCTATATTTGAATAATATATTGTAGGGCCATACCTATATAAAACATGTCTGTGAAGTTTTTTTTTCAAAATACCAAACAGATCATGCATTTTAGCCATGCCTCATTTCGCTCTATTTGCTGTATTCCCGCCCAGTTTTTGCAAGGGCTGATTCTGTGGCAAATGAGCTGCTGACCACGCCCCCCGGCAAAGGAGGGGGGCGAGGCACGAGCGTCATGTTACCATGCTGTTACCATGCTGTTACCATGCTGTTACCATGCTGTTACCATGCCACGACAACCTCTCATTCCCCTGATAGGTGGAGAGTTGCCCATATAGGCGGAGCTCCCTGTTTCTGACGTCAGAACAATATCAAATCTGGATCAGTTTTTATCAGATCCGTTGCAGCCCCTTTTTTAGAGATTTGGGTATGGAGGAAAAGAGAGAGGGTTGTGTTTTCTGACACTTGGTGAGTTCCCTGGAACACCGGGGACACATATTCATGTATAAAAGACGTACAAAAGTGCATTTTGCATGATAGGTCCCCTTTAAGTAAATATTACTAAATATAAAGTATATCTAATCTAATCTTTTGTTTACAATTTATTTTAAATTACTTGTTTTCTCAAAAACAATAGTCTATATGAAAATGTTACTTTTGGAGATACACTATTTTGAGATATCCAGAACTTGTAGTACCCTATATTGCCTTCAGATAAACTTTGGACTATTTTTGGAAATAAAAACGAGCATGGAAAATGATTATATAATAGCCGAAAAAAAGGGGAGTTTATAAAAATCGTATTTCTTGTGAAGTAGCACATTGATTCAAGACTTAGCCTTATGGTTAGATTATTGACAATGTATTTTCAGACTTCTTTAAGGGGTCTCTAGTAACCCTGATGCATCATGATCTGTGGTGTCCCCCTGTGGCCCCCACCTCTCGAACCTGTAGCGGGCCTGCTGCCGGAGCCCCTCCTCGATGCTGGAGCTCAGCGCCTCCTTGTTGTGAAGCCGGTTGAGGCGCTCCAGGACGCTCCGCTGGTGTGCCTCATACTCATCCCGGCTCGGGTAGATCTTGGAGATCAGAGCGTCAAAGTTTGAGTCCCGGCGCAGCGAGCGTCTGGAGACCAGCTTCTGCCTGCAGGTGGGACACTCTTTGTTCCTGGGGGGGAGGAGGTGTGGTGTTACTCTGAGCTCATGTCTGCTTCAGGTTAAAGTAGGTGGATAGAAAAGGCTCACCCTGATCTCAGCGCGGTGACAATGCAGTCGGAGCAGAAGCGGTGCAGACACTCTTTGGCCGTCATGGTGTTCTTCAGCATATCCAGGCAGATGGGACACCTGATGTCTCTGTGCAGGGAGCGAGGAGACACCGTCACCTCCGTCCCATCCATGATCGCCTCCTGAACACACACACATGTTTATCACACATGTTATATTTATATTATGTTTTTATGCAAGTCGTGTTAAAAAAGGATCCTGAAATATAACTTGGCCAATAATTCTACTTCTCAAAACTAATGAATTAAACTGCATTAATATCTCAACGGTGCTATAGTAACACCATGTGTGCATTATTACAGCATTATTACTATATTATGCTGTACATTTCCAGCAAATAATCCTATTTATCTGGGGATAAATGAAGTATTTCTAATAATGACACCTACTGTACACTAGCCAACAAACAAGCATATGACGTAATATAATATCAAATAATTACCCAAAAAATAATGGACGTTTCGAACTCATCAATATATTTGCCGATATATTGGAAAAAAGGGATTTTTTTTATTCTGCTCCCTCGGCAAGAAACAAAAAAAAAGGAGGAAAAAAGGAACGATTAACCCAGTGGTACTCAAACTTTTTCTGTCATTCCCCACTTTGAACAGGTGGGCCTTTTCAAGCCCCACCTGTTCCTCATCGCTCCAATAAAATGGTAGGCCAAGCTTCAAATTGTCAAATGTATCGTTCTATAACAGGGGTCTCCAACCTTTTTTAGGATGAGAGATACTTTCAAAAAATAAAACAAGTCGTGCGCTACTTTTATATTGTTTTTTTTGCAGTGTATATATTTAGCACATTTTAACATTATTATATGCTTACCTTTAACCTTTGTGTGCTGTTTGAGTCTGTGGGACCCTTTTCAGTGTTGACTAAAATAAAATGTATTCAATTTAATTATTTTAACCTGCTTTATTTGGGGGTGGACCTCACATCCTCTAGGGGATGTTGAAGTTAAATGCATCAATCTGGTGCACTTTGAGCACAAAATGAATTTATTGATAATCCCAACATCTTTAGAATATGATCACAACCAACAACAAATCATTTAAACTTGTTTATTCTTATCTTATGTTACCTATAGCATTCTTTCTTTTTATTTATGCATATTTCACTAATCACTAATTTGTTGTACTGTCCTATAGTACACATTAGGCGCATTCACACCGCAGTACTTTTCCCACAAAGGTTCATCAGAACTTAGCTCATGAGAACTCTTTAGTTCTTTAGTGTGTGTGTGTGTGTGTGAGAGCGTTTCATATGTGTGTATGAGAGATTTTTACATATGTCTGTAAATGATTTTGGTTTCAGTTGTGTGTGTGAGCAGGCTCGGATTGGCCATCGGGAGATTCGGGACTTTTCCCGGTGGGCCGCTGCCGTCGGTGGGCTGCTGCCTTCGGTGGGCCGTGGACTTTCACAGCGCCGCTGCGCCGGTGCCGCATCCGCCGGTGCCGCATCCGCCGGTGCCGCATCCGCCGCCACAAACAACTGCCGTTGCGAGGCTCCGGCAGCTCTCCGGCGCTGTGAAAGTCCACCGCTGTTGCGAGTCTCCGGCTGTAACAGTCCACTACCGCCCGCGAGGACCCAGGTTCGATTCCCGCCTGAGGTCCAAACAATTTATTTAAAGGTCCCATGTCATGCTTTTCCGGTTATTACCCGTCCCCTTGTGTGTTATGAAGGTTTTTCTGCATGTGAACGGTCTGCAGAGTCAAAAACCCTCAAAGTACACCCTGTAGCGAGTAAAACTCTAACACAGAAAAGACCTGTCTATGCTGCCCCAGAACGCCTCGTTGGAGATTGTTCTTTTTCCATTTATTTCTTCCTGGGTATGGTGACATGCCCATACCCAAATGGACCCATTGGTCCAATCCGTGGAGCTCCACACACACACACACACACACACACACAGCGGCAAAACTGTGTCGCGCTGGGGGGGCGGGTGCTAGTGGAGCCTCGCAGATGGGGGTGCTGCAGCAACCTGGGCACCCCCCCCCTTCCCGCATCCATTTGCAATGTCTCGCTTTCTCGCAGACCACACGCAGCAAGCAGGAAATGAACCCAGCTCACACAGTCCGTACTGTACTGTAAATCTATTCTAGTATACCTCAACAATGGAATTATGATCAGTAGAAATGGCCATGACATGGGACCTTTACAAATTAAAAAAATAATCTCCCGTTCATCGCGTCCATTCGTGACCCACCTATCACATCTCTGCGCTCCACACTTTGAGAAACGCTGGATTAGAGGAAGGTTCCCTAAGATGTCACTGTTTTTGAATTCACCTGGCACCAAAATGTTCCCGTATAAATTGGATTTTTGGTTCCCTTACGGTTTTTGTTTTCCTTTGAGTGCTTTGTCTCTGTATGTATGCCTTTTTTCAGAAAAGATGTGTTTACGTAATCCTTTACCTGAGGGCTCCTGTGGAGTTCATACAGACTCAGCTCCCAGCTCTTACTGGGAGTCTGGATGTTCACCGGAGCTGCCATGACGACTGCTCCTCACTGCACTGAGAGAAAGGAGTACCTCAAAACATTTGTATAGCGTGTATCAATGCCAGACATATCTTCTTACTCTTTGCAATTGCTCCATTTTGCCTAAAATTATCATGAGCTGTTTGGTATTTAAATGATATTTTGATACCAATTTTTTTACAACTGTATTTACATTTTGTCAGAGGAAAAAGTATATTCAACACAAGTGCATGTTTTTGCCATTTTGGGCATCGATTATTACCTAGAAACATATGGAGGAAACCAGAAGAAGACATTTCATGACAGCAACAGGATCAGATTATCAGGTGAAATTATATTGATATTATGATGGTTGATTCCGTAGTTTTGATGTAAAATGTAAACAGTACTGACACTAGGGTGACCAGGTTTAATTGTTTGCACAAACTATGCAAGTGCACACTGACACACTCTGCGTGTAGGGAGGGGCGGCCCTGCCCATAAGTTAATGCATTTCTCTGTTGATTGACATCTGACACAGCTAATGGTGATGATAGTCCTCGTTTTCTACACACCTTTGTAAAAAAGCCTTGTTTAAGACGGGCGACTGTCAATCAAATGCGGGACATCGGCAAAATGTGTGACAGATGATCGAAATGCTGTGCAGTCCCGCACACAGCGGGACCACCCTAACTGACACTTGCTAACAGTGAAGAGGAAACTCCGCACGGACCTGACAGTCGATCTTCATCACGGTTAATAACATTTAACACGTTTGCAAAGTTGTACTTGCGAGCAGGGTTTACAAATAAATAACATCATATTCTTCTGTTGAATGTTTTAAACAAAAGTTTAGAAAAAGCAGGGAATAAACTACAAACTCACCTGACGTTAAACTGACGGGACAGTTGACCTGAATAGACCCCCCCCCCCCCTTCACAAACACAATACACACAGGCTCCAAGAACTAGAGAAATCCCTTTAAACACACACTCTCGTCATTATTTCTTTACGATGTGGATCAAATTATTTGGAGTCATGGCTGTGTGCCGCTCAAAGGGAACAGAAGACAATAAGATGAAGATCGAAGCGTTTGTTTGAGCCCCTGCAGGAAGAGGCTAGCTAACATCTTTCTTCTTCTCCCGGAACAACTCGCTTTCTCGGTCGACGAATTGCCCCTTTCAGCGCCACTGCCCTCTAGCGGCCAGCCATTTCATTACAATAGAAAGATCGATAAATAGATGGATGGATGGATAGATATAGTAGATACCCTGCAGTATACAAAGTCATTAAAACTAGCTGCACCTTTACAAGCTTTGATAACACTTTAATGCATCAATAACTAGAAAATGCATTTCCTGCATAAAATGCATGTGAATGCTGTAAACTGTGAACATGTGTTGCTGAATTTAGCTGAAAATGCAGAAAAAGCTGAATATGTTATTAGTTGAATGGTCTCTGTAGCAGCTTTTAGCTACAACCAGGGCTGGACTGGGACAGCAAATCGGCCCTGGCATTTAGACCCAGACCGGCCCAAATCCATAAAACAAACGAATAGTAGCGGTTCCTGACAAGAAGAATAACTCAGTATAATTTAAAAAAAACGCTATTATTATCCTTTTTACGTACCAGAGGCAAACAAAACTAATACATATAAGTATGTGTAACTATCAATCATTAGAAATTAGACCTTCAAACCCTCTCACAAAGCGAACAGTGACGAGCACTAATAGGGGGGTCTGGGGGGGTATGCCCCCCCAGAAGAAAAGTTTGAAAAATAACCCCTTAAATTATGACTTCTAGTGAATTTAGGGGGGGGGGACCCTATAGTGCCCTGCCTCCCCTTTCTATGACAACACAATAGAGATAGGACCAGATGAGTCTACAGGATGAGTCGACGGCATCTTTTTATATACATTGACGCTTTCATTTAATTTTTCCATCCTTTTTTTAATCGCTGTAATTGTATTGCCTTTTTCATCTATACACACGACACCTATTGCACGTCTGTCCGTCCTGGGAGAGGGATCCCTCTTCTGTTGCTCTCACAGAGGTTTCTTCCTACTTTCCACTGTTAATTGTGGGGTCTGTTTTGGGGAGTTTTTCCTTGAGCGCTGCAAGGGTCTAAGGACAGAGGATGTCGTACCTGTACACACTGTGAAGCCCTCTGAGACAAATTGTAATTTGTGATATTGGGCTATATAAATAAAATGTGATTGATTGATTGACGCACGCAAGGGGCTATGGTGCAAGTCTTAGGCGGCTGGTTTCTCAGAACCTCACAGAGCACACAGAACTGAAGGAACACAGGTTTAACCAAAAATACTATCCACTGTCTTTATTTTTTTTCCTGAGAATAGGTTTGAAAGAGACAGATTTAAATTTACAAAGAGAGTTGAAGCAACATTTGACAGAAATCCCACATAAATTACAAAAGTACACAACTAGCAAGATATATATACTGTATATATATACTGTACACACAAAGTAACTTATATACTAGACTGAAATAACTAAAATGAATGCTTGTTGTGGAGAGGGGCACTATGTCCAGCGTCCATTCCTCGGTGTGTGTGTGTGTGTGTGTGTGTGTGTGTGTGTGTGTGTGTGTGTGTGTGTGTGTGTGTGTGTGTGTGTGTGTGTGTCTGTTTGCATGTGTGAGTGTAGTTGGGGGGCTTTGGGAGAGTCAAAAAGGATGCAGGTGACCTCTTTGGTCCCTGATAGAGGTCCATACAAATAGGCATTGACATAACAATACCACACAGTTAATGGTCAAAACTACATGTGTGCCTCAATTTTTTTTTTTATTTCTATATTATTCATTCTATATATTGTCAATCAAAACTACCACAAAAAGCTGACTATAAACATTTTTCAGGTCCCAAAAGACCACTGTTGCCCTTATAACCACATAAGTAAATAAACTAAACAAGCTGCCAGCTGACAGTAATTGTTCATGAATGGTGGTTAACTAAATAATGACATTCTTTCAATGAGACAACGTATCAGAGTCCCATTAAGCTATATTTTAACTTGCCAGGGAAAACCTAAAAAAGCCAGCTTACTAGCTTGTAGGCTAACGAATGTTTCTCTTATAATATTTGTCTTATTAGTGCTTCATCAAGGGGATATTAATGGGTTCCAGAACTACAGAGTATCATAACCTTAATAATAATCTTTTCCTAATTTTCTTAGCTTCTGCTTACCGCGAGTTCTCCTCCCTCTCCTCACTCGCGCTGATCTCTCTCCCTGTACTAAACATGTCGGTTATTTTGACACAAGCGGCAGCATCAGCACGAAGGGCCTGCTTTTTTCTTGCCCGCAATTTTTCTGCTCCCCCTTTTCGCTTGGCCTTCGTCTTCGCCTTCTCCATTTCTAACTCGAACTTTTTTTTTTCTCGAAAAAAAAGGCGGTTTGGCTTCAACGGCCGGCTCACCTCCTGGGGGCGTGATTTAATGATGCACACCGAGCGGCCCAAAGGGGGAGGTGATTAAAGATTTGATTGGGCCGGCCCAGTGTCAATTACTAAAAACATTTAAAAAGAGGGCCAATCTACCCGTTTTATGGGCCGGGACTTCAGAAAAAAAAAAAAATGACGTGTCGGCCCAAAAGGCACGTCGGCCCACCGGGAAAATGCCCGGTATGCCAGATGGCCAGTCCAGCCCTGGCTACAACAACCAAGTAAGTGTGTTGCTGAACTTAGCAGAGAAATGCAGAAAAGTGAAATTATTTGAATCAAAATTGTTACAGCTCAAATGCATTGCAATGACTGTTGAAAACTTGAAAGTGAAATGTGAAACTGGAAAAGTAGGAAAAATGGTGAAGAAGCTTTATAGAGTGCCACAGTGACGCGTCCTAAAACCCGGAAGTAAGTTAGAATTTTTTATTGAAAAGAAAAGGTTTAAAAAAGGTATAAACAACAAAATGTATAGCCTCAATGTCCTGAAATAGCTGAATAATTTAATAGTTGAATAGGTTCTGCAGCTGAAAGTAGGCTGAAAGAGTTAACTATTAAATGTAAGTAGTAGTGAATGAATGTGTATTAAGAAGAGAAAATAAGTTTAAAGTTGGAATGAAGTCTCTAGCTGAGTTCACCTCCTGCCCTGCCGTGGTGCCCTTGAGCAAGGCACCGGAAAACCCCCCCACTCCCATTGCTCCCCGGGCACTGTACAATAGCTGCCCACTTCTCCTAGTACTAGACTCCTGGTAGGATGGGTTAAAAGCAGAGAACAAATGTCACTGTGTGCTGTGTGCTCTGCATGTGTGACCATTAAAGAGAGTTTCATCCCTCCCAATTCTAATTCTTATGTGGAAGGGGTAAGCATTTGGCACACAGTGTAGATAAAAGAGGATTTGAAGGTTCCTCCCATTGAGTTACATGTTAAAAATACAAGTGCAATACATAACACACGTATTTAACTTGTGAAGCCTGCATTTTGTTAGTTAATTACTACTTGACCGCAATAAAAAAAAACATGTTTATAGTCCATACACCCAGAAAGCAGGGAGCTAAGAAATCCAGGAACATTTCTGACTCGCACCTCGTCTACAACAACGCTGAAGTTGGCTTCCGATTCAGAGCTTCCAATTCGGCAGTTAAGGGGAAAGTTAAGGGACATTTAATTTACAGCGCAGAGCAGTAATCCTTCGTGTTTGTACCTCTTAAATTGCTGCATAGCCGATTTATTTGGACTAAATTATCCCAGAGAGTCCAAACATTCCAACACAGTTTTAGATTTGTGAAACCTTTATTCTATTTGTGAAAATACAAAAAAAGGGAGATTTGCTGCTTTTTTCACATCTAGACCAGGTCCTGATCTAAAACCACTAAACCTAGACTCATCAAATCTGGACTGGATTATCCCAGAGAAGCTAAATATTCTTTATAACACAGTTTTAGATTTGTGAAACCTTAATTCTATTTGTGAAAATGCAACATTTGTATTGAAAAAGTCACTGCAGAAGTCCACGTCTCTCCATTTCATGTCTCGTCTGCTTTTTCACTTTGAAACAAAATAATGGTTAACATGGTATTGCCACACACACACACACACACACACACACACACACACACACACACACACACACACACACACACACACACACACACACACACACACACACACACACACAACTTTGGGAACAGGATTTCACTCCAGTGACACAGCTTCTTTTCAATACTTTTTATTTTTATTTAGAAGTTCACTTTATGAAGGTGAAAAACCTTTGAAAACAAGAGAACATTTTAGAATTTGTAAGTCTATCACATAAATCATGTAAACAAAGCAGATTATTTTAAACTTGACTTGTTACTGGCAATGTTAACAAATCAAATGTATTTATTTTTAAACAAGAAACTATTATTTCCTCCTTTAACAGAGGTATTCAATGAAATTAAACAAGACTTCACTATCAATGCTTTTAAAATCAAATTAATTCTTTATAACAAGACATTAATTATTTCTAAACAAGAAAGCTTCTTTCCTCCTTTAACAGAGGTATTCAATGAATTAAATAAGACTTCACTATTAACGCTTCTACTAAATTAAATGAATTATTTTAACAAGAAAGATTATTTCCTCCCCTTTTTAGCAGGAATCTTCAGTGGAATAAATTAACAGGATTGTATTAGAAAGGTGTTTAGTAAATCAAAATGTCTACTTTCTAAGATAAATAAACAGCGCGTCTAAGCTCTGAATGTGCCGCACAATTAACGCATCACATTGAAACCACACATATAAACAATGCTGCGCAGAGCTCTAACAAGACATGTGGCACACACGCAAACAATTTAACAGAACATTCACTAGCGGCTCTGCGGAGCTCTCACAGCATGATGGATGTGATCTTACCGGCTGCCTGTCCTGACTCGGTAGAAATGCCTCCCGTCTACACGCTTCCGTCTACCAGGATCGCAAACAGCAACTATTTAAAATCCTTCTTGAGGATGCAGCACTGGGCTCTGTAATTAGGGTGGTTACACCCAGCTTGCCAGAGGAGGCAGGACCGCGATCATTTACACACTGGGTCTTCCCTATTAATTGGTCTACTGTATGTATCCATATATTATTTTTCGACTACTTGAAATCTGTTTTTTATTTTATATTTTTTAAAGCCTTAGGCTCTGTTTGA